TWCGRCKWCCACCKMSATCTMCACCACCGCCAATGACAAAGCTCGTCGGCTCTCCATTCTCTCCCGTGTGTATTGCGACTTGGGTGTCGCCGGAAAGGTGGACGACAGTACCACCAGCCCGGATCTGGATTCCGCCTGCAGCTTGCGAAGCCGAGGATCTGTGACTTCTCGAATTTGAAATGTAGGACGCACTGCGTCGTCGGTTGTCATCTTTCTTGCGCATATTCTCGGCCGTAAGTTCGTAGGGATCGATGTTTCCCTGCATGCCTCTCTGGTAGGCGTCAACGCTCTCACGCAAGCGGTGTCGTTCCTCTTCTTCATCTCGCAATTTTTGCTGAGCACGGAGCTCAGCTCTAGTCTCTTTTGGGAGGTATGTTGACCGTCGACCATGTTTTCCTTCGACAATCATTCGTGGTTGGGAGGAGTAGTCGGTGTTGCTGGAAGACATGGTCGTAGCTCTTGTCCTTCCGGATGAAGAGGTTGTGGCGATTGAGGGTCTGCGGCTGCTGGTCGACGTATATGATGGACGAGCAACAACAGCGCGAGCCGTGCGGTCGGAGTCGCCGACGTCCGAATAGTACACATCACCATCCGAGCGACCGGATCGCTGTAGGGGCTGTTGAGGTCGAAGTTCACGACGACTGCGAGTGGGAAGGGTTTGTTGTTCTGTGTAATACTTCTTCACGCTTGGTCGAGAGGGATGCGGCACGACGACGACAGCTTTCTCCGATTCGTGGCGACGATGGGAGTGTCGGCGCTGWAGACGTCGATCATCTTCGGAGGATGTGTATTCTGACTCCGAGGTGTACTCTGATTCCGAGGAGTACTGTTCGCGCTGGTCATGATAACGACGGTCCTCGCTCCTCCGGGCGGAAGCAGGTTGACGAGCACTTGAGAGTGACCCATGTTGGGGAGGTCCTAGAGTCGGTACTGCTATGTTGAGCTGCCGCGCCGAGTATGGCCCTGGGATGGGAGACTGTGGTGGATAGCCAGAGTATGCCGGAGATGTTGGGGATGGTAGAGCAGGGGATGCGGGTCGGTAAGGAGCACCCATGTTAGCAGTTGGAGTATGGTGTGCATACATTGGAGGATGTGAGTATCCCTCGTAATGTGATGTAGGTTGCTGTTGCGGGATGGGCATCGGGGCCGAAGGCATACCGTACCCGTACAAGCTCACCGGACGTTGGCGAGACACGGAGCCTGCATGCGGTTGCATCGGAGGAGGCATGTTTGTGGAACCYTGTGGATTTGCGTAACTGTAATGAGGATACTGATGGAGCACTGGGTACTGCTGAGCCTGAGAAGTCTGTTGCGGTGGCGCATGCTGGTCAACAGTGGTCTTCCTTCTCTCCCGCTTGCGAGCCTTGTCGCAATCAGGATCACGACAATACGGATCGGTGCAAGAAGTGTGCTTTGTGACCGGCTGATCTGAAGTCCTCCCGTTGTCGCCCCGGTGAATAACCGGCTTCGAGGACTTGGACTTGGCAGATGGCTGACTTRAGCTCGTTGGCGCGGTGGTTGCGACAATCTTCCGGCTGGATTTTGTACTCGAGACTACTGCAGGACTTTGGACCGCCTTCGAACTGGTCTTTGTATCCGAGTGAGTATCGCGGTGCGATGTTCTCGGATGCGCGCGCCTGGAGGAAGGCTGGCTGACACCGACATTCGACGCGAGTCGCGCGGTGCCGGCAACGACATGGCTTTCGTCGCTATCGTAATCCTCGACTGTTGCGACTTCTGCCTTGGCTTGCTTCATGGATTCAGGCATACTTTTTTGCCTGGCGTGCTGCGCTAGGTTGACGACAGCGKTGAGGTCGGCAGTGAATTGCGACGATCCACGGCTGGAAAGGTCAAGTGTACTACCGGCAAGTTTGTCTCACTTGTTGTGGGTTTGCTTCTCGTGGTCCTTGTTTCATTTTGTGAGAGGTGTCTCGGGTAGCATAGAGTCATTGTAGAAAGAAGCCGTAGATCGTGAAAGGATGACTCTGTTTGCGCGGCAGACTAAGGCGAGATGCCTCACCGGTCCGCTTGTGCAGGCAGGGTGCAGTAGAAAGCGAGCAAGAGAACCAGCTCCGTTGCATCCAAGGGCTTTGCAGGTGCAGCTGTTCGCTTCTTGAATTGTGTCGTCTGCGGGTTGGCGCCGGCAGACTGGTTTGCAAGTGGTGGGCAATGGTGCCCAACGATCCGGCTAAGACGACAACTTAGTTCCACAGGGCAGCCCAAACGACTGGGGGTCGCAGGAAAGAAAATGTTCGGCCGGCTTGCTCGCTCGGTCATCGACGCTTGAAGAGGGCAAGCGGAGGGAGGCTGCAGGAGGGAAGCGTCCGCAACCTGTCGGCTAGATAGCTACCTTCCTTAGACCTCCGCAACATGCATGACCGGAGGGTTGCGTGCGTCTGTCCTATTAGCAGTCTGCTGCCTTCAACACGACCGTCGCCATTCCTCTTCTTCTTACATGAAACATCAGATGCAAGAGCTGGGTTGATCCTGAATGCTGTCCTGTGTTTGCTGGCATACCATCTGCGATGAGCGCGGTACCAAGTGCGACGATGTTGTCGACAGGAAGCAGTGTGCTCCCCCTCCTCGGATGCGCGTCAAAAGTCTCGAGGTACCTCCTTTGCACCTCATTCATCTTCCTCAACCCAGCTCTCAGTGCAYCACAAACAATCGGGTGGTTGATTGTCGGACTATTCAACCGCAGAGTCGCCAATGCGAACAAYGAACGATTGTGTCGTCGAAGCAATCATTACGCCCCGAGACAATTGCGAGCGTGACCAGAACGGATCCTTGGAAGTCGAAGTTGCTTGCGCGCGCAGTACAGCGAATTACTTGACTTATTCTCAGAAATACTTCCCTGTCGGCATCCCTATAACACGCACGCTCACCGCCTTCTGTCCTGCTGGATGCATCCACCTTCCACGTGCGTATTCATTGGCCCGACCCGTCTTTTGCATTTCTCAACCACTAGGTTGATAGCGTAACACGTTCACATGTATCACTTGATTCCGCGGTGGCAATCTAGTTTGGGGCATTACAGCTCGAAGGTGCAGCGCTGGCGAGCTTGGAATGTTCATGGTTAGGTAGCATGCAATACTTGTTTGCTGGTCAACGCCTTCGCTTCGACGGAAGATAAAGCCGATCTCTCATCATTGAATGAATGCTAGTAATAGCAACGAAGCCTCCTCATGACATATCACGGAAAGTGGTAAGTGTCGAAAACGGAGCACGTATACACCCGACGTCGTACACGGTATGCACATACCGACTCTTGTGGCGAGTTGTCAAGCTCACATGTGGTGCAACGACTTGGAAGCATATGGCAAGCGTAAAATCTCGATGGTTAGGAAGCAAACATTTCCGTAGTTGCTCGCGAGGAGAAAACATCTCGGACGCAAGATATCGCTTGTTTAGTCTGCAGACATCAGCGGCCGTAGCCTTGCGCATCCGGTTTCGACACCTGTAAGCGTCAACCTTTCCCCACTGGAGCTATGTTACTGAAGCGCGCCAGCACTCCTCCCATTGCAAGATCTCTTCGTGAGATCGTGGAAAACTTCCTCCCACCAACGAACGCCATCCCGATTACTTTCCCTCTAACCATTACATCCTCTGCACGGGCGAGAGACCCAACAACTGCATTCCATTGTTGAGCACAATCCTCGCGGCTTCGTACATGGCCATCAGCGCTACCTTCTTCTCCGGCGTCTCAGCATACATGACGCTAAACAGCTTGGCGTTCTTGTTGTTGCGGTCCGTGGCATCGTAGCACGAGCTCAGCAGGTGGGTCATCTTGAAGAGGTAGGTGAGGACGGTGACCGGCTCTTGGGTCTTGTACGTGTTGATGAAGACATCAGGCCACTGTGCTAGCGAACGAATGAGCTGGACGCCCTCCTTCCCAACAATCAGACTGAGATCCGCGTTGAGCATGTCCTCTTCCGAGACCTCGGCCTTGCGCTTGATCGAGCACAGACGGGCGTGGGAGTATTGTAGGTATGGACCGGTGTCGCCCTCGAAGCTCGTCATCTTCTCCATGTCGAAGTTGTATCCGTTGACCATCTTGCCACTGTAGTCTTGAACCATGATGGCCGAGATTGCGAGCGTGTCTGCGGTGCCTTCGGGGTCCGCGACTTGCGCATACTTGTCCGCGTTCTTCCTCATCACATCGTGCATGAAGTCCTTCGACGCATCTAGACTGTCGGCGAGTGAGACGACGGTCCCCTTTCGTGTGCTCATCGTCTGACCCTTGGGATCCTTGACCATGCCAAAGCTAATGTGCTTGCACTTTGCCACGATGTCGCTGTATGGTGGACCCATGAGCGATAAGATCTTGAAGAACTGTTCGACGTGTACGTCCTGCTGTGATGCAATAACGTAAATCATGTGGTCGAACTTGTACTCCTCGTAACGCTCAAAGTTGGCCGCAATGTCGCGGGTGAGGTAGAGTGAAGTACCATCACGCTTCTTGACCAGTGTCTTGCCGAGTTTTGGCGCTCCGTGCTTCGTCAAATCGACGATGACTGCTCCCTTGCTATCCTCACYGATGCCCTTGTCGGCAAGAACGTTGGCAGCCTTCTCCATATCCTCCACCTTTACTGTGGATTCGCCGCTGTATACGTCGAACTCGATGTTCAGTCGAGCGTACATGTCGATGTATGCCTTGATGGAGAGGTCCCGGAAACGCTGCCAGTTCTCCAGCGCCTTTTCGTCACCGTCGACCATGCGCTTGAAGAATTGACGTGCACGCTCATCTATACTTGGCTTATCGACCAACTCCTGCTGCACCTTCTCGAGTTCKGCCGTGACGGTTTGGAGCTCCTGCTCCTGCTCGTCGGTCCACTTGGCAGCTGGAGAGGCCTCTGCTTCCTTGCCCTTCGCAGGCTTCTTCGGCTTGGGTGGATTCTTCAATTTTTCCAACTCATCCTTCTTTTCGGCCAGTACCTTCGCCGGCTTCTGCTCGACAGAGTTGTCTTGGTTGATCTTGACGTAGACGTAGTTCAAGTGCTTGACGGGGTCTTTCAGCAGCTCCTCTTCATTGCCGTACTTTTCAAACCCCTCGGAGAGAACACCATACTGCTTTCCCCAGTCGCCAAGATAGTTCATCGACACCGTTTCCCAACCCGCTGCCTTGAACAGTTTGATGATGAACCCGCCGATGATCGTACTCCGCAAATGACCAGTGTGGAACTCCTTTGCGATGTTTGGACTTGAGTACTCCACGACAAGTTTCTTTGCGCGGCTGTTGGGGTTTGATGGATCCTCCAGCCCAAGCGATTTGTTGAAACCATACTGGGTCTGTTGCTTGTGGATTGCCGGCAGCACCAGTTTGGCGAGTGAGACTGGCTCGAAGAAGAAGCGGACAAACGTCTTGTCTGCGATTGGTTTTTGTAACAAAGGCGAGTCGAACTTCTCCGCGATCTCCTGGGCGAGCTCATCCGGCTTTTTGCCCTTTAGTCTCAGAGCAGGGACTGGAAGGCACAAATCTCCATGCTTTAAATCCGCGGTCCATTGCACGGCATTGTTGATGACAGCGAGATCAGCGCCTGTGATCTTTTGAAGCTGCTCGATGATGACAGCACGGTAAACATCGACGGGATTGTGGTGAGGAAATAGTGGCACTCCTGGAATTGGTGGTAACTCGGAGATACCGACAGCTTTGAGCTGTGAGGTGATGTGAGAGATGTCCGCCATGGTGTGAGTTTTTGAAGGAAACAATGGTGATGTTCGAATGCCTCTGTAGTTTGGCGGCGTGGCCGGAGCTTTGATTGCTTGCTGGTGACTCAAGATGCCAATGAATTTTGCAGGCGCAAATTTTGATGTTCGGATGGGTCCCGCAGGGCTAGGCCGGAATGCTCGAGAWAGACCAAACATACACTCCGCTTGAGCGAGCGTTGATGTTTGATGCAAAAATTTGTTGGCGAGATGGTGGTGATGATCGCTGCGTTGTTTGTCCAACAAAAGAGGTGCTGAATTGAGGTCGCGCTTTTCGTCCGTGCTCAAAACGTGTGGTAGAGGCGGAAAATGTAGCCTAAAAACAGTATACACAGCCAAAGTATGGTTCTACACATTCTATAATACATGCGTTATGTGACTGCACCATCAGCCCAGCCCATCTTTTCCCGATCATCATCGCACAGCCTGGCGTACTCCAATAACAGTCTGAACACATATACTGACATGTCCTCCCTCCGCAGCACTCTCTCAGTCCAAGCTTTGCCATCAAGTGCAATGCTTTTCGCTTCATTGTCATGACCAACAACACCCRTCGCCGCATTACCAACAAAGTACTCCATGATCCCATATATATCAATGAACGTGTTATCCATGGGAACAAAGTGCTTCCAGGGCACCAGTCTGCTGTCATGCCACTCCTCGTAAATCGTCGCTTTGATGGGCAGCGAAGTGCTTCCCAGGAAGCCTCGATAGCGGCCACTGAAAGAGTTGCCGTCAATGTCCGGTAGATACTTGTTCGAGTATTGCTCCTTCATTGGAACCTCTTTCTTCACGGTGTAGTATGGGTCGGTGTACGGACAACGTGCTGTCCCGGTTCCAGGGAAGCACAAAAGATGCACAACCGCCGCGTCGGCCCAACTTGCGACCCATTCGCTAAACGCGTTCTTCTTCGTCTCTGGTTCTTGAACGGCGAGCTCATATGTTCCGTTCGCAGGGAGAACAAAGTTGCGAGGTTGAGTCGATGGATCAGCCTCTGCAGCACTGATCTCAGTTGCATTCATCATCGAGACGAAACGATGCCGTTGAAATCGAGTCCATGTCTCGGCTTTGTTGCGCCCGCCACTAGCGGAGCCACGCCAAATTAGGCTGTCCTTCTTCTGCTCCCACGGCCCTCCATGCTCGGCTCCGCCAGAGTAGAACGGATCATCCGTCCAGTACATTGCTGCAGGGAGAAGGATCTCGTTGTTCATTGGCAGTTTCGAACCACCAAAGAGCGGGAAGAATGTCTTGGTGTTGGAGATCGAGATCGGTTCTACAAACGTGCCATGCAGTCCCTGCCACTCTGGGTGGTCACAAGGCGATTGTGCATATGTCCAGTTTTGAACATAACCCTTGTATGAGCCTAGTGGGAGTTCGGTACTCAAAGGTGGAGGCTGCGTAAACTCCGTCTCGAAGTAGGACTTCCTTGCAGGTGTCTCCGGTGGGCAGCCGACCACTGCCAAAGGCCAATATGGCCCGGCTCCATCAAAACGAGGATCAAACTTCTCGGGGGGGTGTGAGTCCAGAGCCCGGAGGTTCCCAAAACTCGTCTTCAGCTGTTCCGCAGGCACAATCTTCCTTGAGCGACTCTCCTTTGTCATGTATTCGTCAATCTCTTCCCAAGGCACAACCAACCGACTCTCGTCCATGACGTTGATGGGTACGTCCACATCTGGGAGATGCGATGCCACGCTCCGTATCATGTCCTCCCATAGATTTATCCAAGGTCGAACGACGTTCGATGTTCCATTGGCCACGCCGTTCCTGACGAAAATCTTGTGCTCGAAATCGTTCGCCTGCTCACGCATCTGCTTCGCAGAGATGCCCCAGAAGGGGTTGAGATCATCGTAGATACGGTCGAAGAAATCCTCGATGATCAGCGCGGAGCTGTTCGCGGCGAATTTGTACCATGCATCAAATCCAGGAGGAGGCTGACGCCCTCGTCGCTGGCGATATGCTTCTGCTGCATCCTGGACAGTGTTTGTTTCCTTTGCCAACAAAGCCTGAAATTCCTCATCCGCCCTGCGTATGAGTGTATCGATCGGGTGATCCTTTTTCGGCCTTGGGGCTACAGTGATCTTCGGCGGCGGTGGCGTGACTTCTTTGGAGACGCGGAGGACGTTCTTGACAGTGTAGCTGGTGGGGAGGGTAAACCAGGCGAGGCCGACGAGGCATACCGCCACGAAGGCAAGCTGCACCAGGCGGCTGTGGAATGAGACGCCAGAGACGAGCATTGTACTCAGTGAGATCGGGAACGGGCAGTGCAAGTCCGTGAAACACTTTCAATTGCCGTCCGTTTGCGATCTGGCATGGCTCGATTGCTGTCCGTTAGCGAGTGGATGCCGACAAGGCGTTATCGTGATCGTGACATTGTTGAGCTCCTCTGCTCTCCTCAGATTGATGAAAGTTGAAGATGACAAGGGTCCTTGACTCCGAAGCTAAATTTGGCATGGTCTCCCATGGTTCGGAAGGGGAAACGACGGAGGCGGCAGGGGAAAGATTGGCCGGGATTGCTATTGTGCTTTCTGCAATACATGGCGACGACTGGACTCGGACAAGACTCAAGACAACGCAAAACGCTGAAATATGAGACTCTCCGCAAGCCTGCTTCGGTTTGTGCTGGTAAGTTAGCTACCTGTTCGTGAGCATTGTTGTCGAAACAATACAATCAGAGCCGGCAACCTTCAATTCCACTGGGCCCTGCGTAAATCTTCAGCAGATTGATGTTAATGATTTTCAAGCGTGACGGAGAATTGATGGAGCGACACTGGCGAGGACACTTAACTATGCGTTGCTCGTGCTGTCATCAAGGGAGGAGTTCCATACTTAAGTACTTTCGTTTCTTTCGCTTTCGCCATGTGCGTCGGTGACGAGCTGGGATTGATGGAAGCACACGACATCAAGCTCAACGTCCAAACGGCGATGCCGCTCTCTTGATCAATTGGCATCGGCAGTTTGATGTTCCTCTTCATCTCCATCTCATGCGTCTTGCTCTACGTCCCGCGTTGGTGTACGTAAGGTACAGTACGGACATCGTCTGATGGATGGGCATGGGCAAGCAGTTGAGGCATCAAATATTGATGGCAAGGTAGGTAGATCATGTGGGGCAGACTCCTGTGCACTAAATCCTGTTGCCTACAATGTTGAACCAAGTACTTCGTTGTACAAGACGATCTATCAACATCACCTCTCGAAATCACCATCACTTCCCCTCTTCATCATTCCGACATCCATCTGATTGGAATGTTTGCTGCCACCTGATCATTTGATTGACTGAGACGCTACATTTCCGCAACAGCGACAATGGCCACCCAAAAGGCGACGACGATATGCCATTTACTCAATCTGCCTGCAGAGCTTCGTCTCAGAATCTGCGAGGCCGTCCTATCTCCCGGTGTGCTGTGTCTAACAAGGACTGATAACAAGCGCTTCGCCGTCTCTCCTGCGATCTCTCCGCTCTTCCTCGCGACATGTCGCCAGATCTACAACGAAGCCAGCAAGCTACTCTATTTCGATAACGAGGTCACCCTCATTATGGACGTTCATGACGCTTTCGCGCCCGTAATCAACCAGTCGCGATTACCACAGCGTGCGCTTGAAAGGCTCCAGCATGTATGCTTGATCTGCGACGGAACGGCCAACTTCCAGGCCTCTTATGAAGATGTCGACTTCACCCCACTCTCTGCCCTGATCTCACTAAAGACTCTACGTCTTTGCATGATTCTGWCCTCGACGCCGCACGACTTTCCGGATGTGCTTGAGTACCGAGTGACAGAGCTCGCAGCTCAGATCTTGGAGAGGGTGCCAGCATCGACGAAAGTCGTGTGTAATCTTGAACCCGGCAGCGTGCAGGAGGGCCTTGCAAAGTACGTCCATACGAAAGGCGTTGAGCGCTATGGAAGCGGAAATGCTGGAAGATCAGTCCCGGCTATTACTGGCGGTGCTGGGGGCTCGTTTAAGCGGGACATCGTCGTAATACCGTCCGACTTGTTGGAGGAGGCTGTGTCCAGCGCCGAGGAAGAACATGGCTTCAAGGGTTCCAAATCTGGAGCCGGCCTAGACGTCTTTGCAGACCATCGCTCAGACCTCAAGGGCTTTGCGTGGCGGTCGTGAATGGTCGTTGGTAAGCAATGAGAAGGCAATGACAAGGCTCTTAGATGGGACTAGAGCCCGATGAAACTGAAGATTGCCGCCCTACTTGCAGCTCTCAAGGTTCTTATGCTCTCTGCCGCGAAAACGACAGTATTACTAAGGAGACATTGTTCCATCAGACATTTGACTATCCTCAAGGCTGCTTGCTTTTGTGCTTGTAGCTACCTGTTGGAGAGCACAGTCGTCAATTTACTTCAAGGAGAGCCGGCAACGTCAATCTCACCAGCTCTTAGGCTGTCCAGAGTACTCGGACATTGGCGCTACGTATTGCCCATCTGACCATATCGGGCATCCAGCTTATGCCTTGTCCCTTTCGGACGACGGGAACACATTCGAATAGAAGGTGCCGCGCGCTGCCGTCGAACAGTGGAAAATGGCACAATCGCATGTCTCACGTCGAGGCCTACAACAAGGACTTCACACCACTATCAACACATCGAACACTTCTGGACTTCCTTCCCTGCAAACGTTCGATCGGCGAGTGTGCGAGCGGGGTGCTCACAGTATCAGGTCCTCTCGGCCAGACTCTATGCTCACTGTCACACTGTAAGTCGCGGCAGCCTTCTACAATTCCGTCACACATATGAGACACAATACAACACACCGTCACGGAGGAAATTAAAACGTTATTCATTTGCTCATTTGATTCATCGTTTCGTAAGCTAAACACCTCACCTTTTGCCTATTCCCTTCAGGCCTTCTGATAATAGCGACCCTTCTGCTGAACCAAACTATCTCTCTGCGTCGGCCTCGTCAGCAAAAGTATCGGAAGTGGTTTTGCAGGCATGCCTTGAGGAGCCAATGGCAAGTCATCAAGACCAATTCCCTCCTCCTCCTGAATCACCGACAGATGACGCGGATTGTGATGACCACGAATGTTGGCTCCTGACCACATCCGCTTCCTGGCAGACGTGACATCTGCCTCGGTCCAATCATCTCCCTGTTGGCTCTTTGCTGCTCTGAGCTTTTGGAACCACAAGGCTGCGATGATGATTAGAACCACGACGCCAATGATGGTAGTCACACCAATGATTGTGTTTCGTTGCCCACCTGGAGTGGGTGGATTTGTTGCGCCCATCGTTTTCCGAGATCAACTCGTTTGTTTTAGYGTGGGCTAATGTGGAAAGGCAGCAAAAATTGGTCTGTTTATGTTCCGATGCTGTCAAAGTTTCGCCTGGAGACTTTGCGGTGACAGAAGGTTTCCGGAGAAGTGGGAGGGTGCACAGGACTTGTGGGGGGTTAAGTATAGCATTCGCCGGTGTAGTGATACAAAGAGACATTGTCTGTGGTCACAAACGAGATTGTGATGCACGAAGAAAGCATTGTGATCTCTATTGTCATTAGAGGGCGCGGAGATTGGATCACAAGGGGTGGCGGTATGATCAAAGGCTGCATCGTCACCGGATGCTCAGCTTACGCTTCTTCGGGGACTGGAAGGAAGGCAGCGAGGATTGTAATATTGCGATAGGCCATTTACTTCCCGTGGGTGTATCGATTGAGGCTCTGAAAAGATTTTGAGTTTTCATGCTCTTGTTGAGGTGAACATTACGCCTCAATAGTAGGACTCGGACAGCCAGGTGAGAAGAAAGCGATATAATGTTCATTTCATTCATGAGTAAATTTCCTCAAACACCTTCCCGTCCATCATATTATACAGTCGTTGTATCCTCCAACCCCTTCCCTATCCCTCGCATCCACCGCTACGACGATATTTCCCTCATACATTCCGACCAGACACCTGCTGAGCCATCTTGGCCCCGAACCATCTGCGTCTGCTTCCACTGCTACCACCACGCTGCTTACGCTTTCTGATGAAAAGCCAAAGCCAGAGAGCGAAAGCAAGCACAACAAAAGCCGCGAAAGCTCCCAGAGCAATCTTCATATTTCTATTGTCGAGGTGGAGTTTGTCGAGATGGGCTTTTGAGATTGTGGTGCTGGTAGCCATGGTGGAGGATGTATTTGTGGTTGATGTACCAGCTGCTTTGATAGGGTAGGGGTACTGGTTGCTGGAAGTGGGCTTGATGGAAGCTGGTTTGGTGGACATTGTGGAAATCGTGTTGATGGTTGTTGGGGTTTGAGTTGATGATGTTCTGGCCCGCAGAACTGTGAGGGTAGAAGTAGCTGTGCGTGTGGATGTAATTGTTGACTTGACTGACGATTCAGCGCGAGCCACGTGGTGCCGGACCGCGTGATGATGGTGGTGCATGATGAGAGAGTGGAAGTTTGCTAGCCAGAGCAAATGGTAGATCGTGATAAGGAAAGGTGCGTTGTGGAGAGGGTGACAGTGAGAGTGAAAGAGGGGCGATTGTGCGTCGATGCTGAGGGTTTTGATAGGGAAACTTCTGGGCATGTCTTATGAAAGAACTCGATCGAACAATGTTGCAGATTTTCAGACAATGCAGCGGTGAATGAAACTTTTACACAAGGAACAAAGGAATTTTGGCGATCTTCAACAAAGCGAAATGAGAAAATCAAGCTATTGTGGTTGACAATAAAATGGAGTGGAGAGAGCGATTGCGTCGCAGAGTCGCGAGAATGATTTTCACGTGTGTGGAAAGGGGCGTGAACCTCTTGGAAGCGGTGTTGGCGGTTGTACCGTCTGTTCGGCCGTCATGTGTTCCAGAACGATGTCGAATGATCATCTATCAGCTGTTTTGCAAGTTTGCTGCCTTCAAGAATGGTCGTGTTACGAGATAAAGCGCCTCTTTCCGTCGCTCAATCATTAGATTCAGGAAATTCTCTCAAGCCTCCTGGCACTGATGCGTTCGCGACGGATCGTTTCTGACCGAGTGTTAGTGAAGTGCACCTTTTGTCATCGAGCAAACCCGCCGCAAAGACGCGCTGTACTGCGTCGACCAGGGATGACGATCGGCCCGCGTTATCTCTCGAAATATGCAAGGACAACGAAACCTGAGTGATCACCATAGAATATCAGATTCGTGATGAAATGTTTTTGATATCTCGAATCTCGATGCAGACAAGGTTTTGTCACATGAAGATTGGGTGAATGTCCGGAACGTGGGGACAAGGGTCCCAGGGTCTCAGGGTCTCAACTAGTGGAACAAGGAACCGATATTGACATCATTTGCTGTCGGGCATTTACTCCGTACAGCAGCGCCTGACCAGTCCATGCACATCCGGGTCATTGTCGGTGGAGAGGTCCAACGCCAACATGAAATATCGCTGGAGACCTTGCATTCGTCTCTGTTGTGCAACTTCACGTCTTACCAACCGCCAAACGAAATTAACCACACCACATTCATCAAGTCAACAAAATGGCCCTAGTCGACTCCCGTCCCTACAGTGATCCACTCCATGGCAGCGTCGAGTTGGTAGAGAACAGCAGTCAAGCCTCACCAACTCAAACATCATCAGAACACGAGGACAACTTCGGATCATACAACCCAGGACTATGCGAAAGACAAACTGAGACTTCAAAGCAAGACGAAATCATACTCGTTACTGTCAAGCCTCTTGCGACATCAACAACCACAAGCCAAATCAGCGTTCCACAATCGACGCTCCAACCAGATCGGAGCCCCTTAACCGATCAAGAAGCAAGCCGACGGAGGTACTCGGTGATGATGGCAAGCCTGGCCGCAGCCCGTGTGGAGGAGAGCAAAGCATCATTACGGAGGAACAGTGCAATGGTCCCCGCCGGACTTACAGGGGTGTCATCGGGGCCGGCAAAAGGCGGCTGGGAGTGGCAAAAGCAAAGAGATCTCGAAGACGACTTTGCTCTGCGCGAGAAGTACTTTGCAGATGAATTGTGAGGACGAGAACGGCCAGGAAGGAGAATGTGATTTGAACAACGATCGTCATGTGCAGCATGGAGCCCTGTTGGGCATCATAGTTGGGATTTGCCGAGGCCGAGAACGACATCATAGTCGTGATAGCGTGACAGGGGGTAGGGAGTTGGGCAAGATATACCCGAAGATAAACTGTGGTACACTAGACAGGCCCATGGGGTATGAAACATATTAGCTGGATGTCGGAAGGACGTCAGATCTGGGTTGGACCTCACGTCCTGCAATGTTAGTGAATCAAAATTTTCATAAGATCTATCAACTATTCGACTACTTTGCTACATTTCTTGCTATAGKCTATAGAAGTACAGCTGTCCATCTCGGTCGTTTTTCGAAGCTCTCCATTCTTTCCCTTGTTCAACCGCAAACAATAATCATCGCCCATCGGCAAAGCTGTCGATATCAAGATTCTTCAGCGAGATAAGTCACCATTAGTCATCTTTTTATAATCTTAAAGCCGTGCTCTCTGCAGAATCGACAGTTCTAGAGCTGCTAGAACCTATAATACTAGCAGAGTGGCCTGTTATTAAACGGAGAGAGCAGTGGAGGGCTGTGCTCTTTTGAAAAATTTCTTATATCCACAGCTCTGCCTATCGGCTTCGAATCCAACGGCATCCCGAGCTTTGAAGTAGACTGCGACGTTTAGAGCTCCTCGGCGAAGGCTGCGGAGACAAGCATGGGAAGAAAAACATTTTGTTGCAAAGTGGGTGCGGCGTAAAAAAACGACAACTTCATTTTCCTTTCCAAATCGTTTCCTCGGTATCAAGACTTCACTCCGCTGGTGGCTTCGCGCTGTGACTGACAAGAGAGCGCATACTCCAGACCAGCGTTCTTCTGCTTCAGTGAGTCGACCATGGTCACAAGTTGGTCATTCTCCTCCTCCAGCCCCGAAATTTTGACCGCGAGGTCCCCGTGCGTTGAATCCGCGGCAAACAGATGCTTGGACAGCCAAGACCAAGAGGGTAGGACAGATCGATACTGAGGATCATACCAGAACCGCCGGGCAAAGGAGGACAAAGGAACAGTCGGATCTTCTTTCGCCAGTCTCAGCTGCGGGACGCGTGCGTCAACTTTGGTCTCACCTACAACCACGTCGCAATCGCCGTTTTTGCGATACAGGACTTCCTTTTCAGAGGAGTAGAAGATTCCCTGTGCTCGGAGTTGTACCGTTGAGAGCAACGTGAGGCCGGGTCCAGGCACGTACCAGACTCCGTATAAACGGAAACGTTCGAGTCGAGTTTTGTCGTTGCCATCTTTTACAATGGTGCTGATATCCATGTCACCTCTGCCAAGACACCATACCACAGCACCTGCGCCACACAGTGGTATAGGGATGTGGTATGGTCTGTAATTGAGGAGCTTGCGTCGATCGTGGCAAATGTGCATATCGGCCCCTGAATCGACAACCATTTGAAGCTCTGGCTGTAGTAGCATACGCTGCATAGGGATGCTGAATCTGACAAGGAGATGCCAAAAGAGCAGTCCGACGACGCATCTGGTGAAATACCTGATGGCGCGATATAAAAGGTGTTCCACGGGCCAGTCTCCAAGTCGCAAAGCCAATCCGACCGTGTGATATAGAGAGAGGGTCATGATCGGGGCAGACGATGATTTTCGAGGATGAACTTCAGGATATTCCAGTCTCTGCGGGCTTCAGAAGTGATGAGGATGCGTTGTCCTTGAGGTGCGAATTTGAGTGGAGTAGGTCGGGAGCAAATAAGGAAGGAAGTGAAAGAATGTATACAGACAGTGGACGGTTGTATACGGATGGAAACCTGTCCTCGAATATCAAACGTGGTGCTGTACCTGTCATGCGGAAAAGAAAGTCATTTGACGGGAGGTAAAAAGTGGTAGAGTACCTTGGTAGATAGACATTGTCAAGCTCTTGGTAGGTTTAGGGGCGTCCATATGAGAAATCTTCAACAAGATTGGAGCCCTGAACTGCTCTCTCCGTTAATTAATAAGTCACTCTGCCACTAGTAAGGATTCTAGTAGGCCTGAACTCGTCGAGCTTGTAAAGAGCGAGGCCTTAGGACATTATACAGATAACTAAAGATGTCGATTAGGGGATTATTTATCGGATACGAATGGCCTATAGCTGTTCTGGAGAATCTCAGGCCTTAGTTCTATACAAGAAATCTTTAACAAGAGTAGAGCCCTGGAATGCTCTCTCCGATAATTAATAAGCCACTCTGCTACTAGTAAGGATTCCAGCAGGCCTGAACTCGTCAAGCCTGTAGAAAGCGAGACCTTAGGACATTGTGTGGATGACTGAGGATGTCGATATAGGGATTATTTATCGGACTCTAATGGCCTAGGCCATAGCTGTTCTGGAGAATCTCACGCCTTGGCTCCTTCACGGCGGTATCATTATGTTTGGGACTTAACAGTAAGAGCTTAGTGTAGGCGTCGAAGTAATGCAAAGCCGTGAAAGCGTAACATGGGTTAGGGGACTTAGGCAGCTGTAGGATATTCGAAGATAGACTATAGTATACTAGACAGGACTATAGGGCATAGAACGGATGCGAGATCTGATCTTAACCTTACGTTCTACATAATTAGAGAATCGACATTTTGATAGGATCTGTTAACCATTCGACTGCTTGGCAGCTGTTCTTACGATAGTCTTCTATAGTCGATAGTCTTCTATAGTAACGCGGCTACACAACATTTCTTTGCCCAAAGTTCTTTATCAATCTCCAGGTTCCACCGCAATCTTTGGTCGCCGTCCGACGGTTCGAAGTATTGCCGCTTTCTCCCTCTTCGCTGCAGCCAAGTCATGACATCTTATAGTATCTACCCGACCACCCAAGATCCCTCTCAGTCCAGAGATGTGCTGGAGACCAGAGCTGTCGATATGAGCAATTGTTAACAAGAGCAGCACCCTAGACTGCTTCCTCGGTTAACTGACGGGCGACTCTGCTGGTAGTTAGGATTCTAGCAGGCTTAGAATCGTCGGTTCTGTGAGAGAGCGAAGCCTTATGACATTGTGGGGATGGATGAGGATGTCTTATCCCGATGAAGAATCCTCATGTCGACTGCTCTGCTGGAGACGATCATGCTCCCTCAATCGTCCAAGTCCACAATCTCGTGCCTATGCGCTTGAATCTCCTCCATGATTCCATCTTTGTGCGCAGCCAGTTCCTCGTCTGTGAATCGAAGAGCCTCCTTCAAGCTTGCGTAATGAGCCACTGCAGGTCGAGGTGCAACAGCATCTCCAATCATCTCCATTGCTTCAGTTCGGGAGGGGGCCCTTCCATCTTCTTTACCTATAAGTTGATAGTGGAAGGGAAAGCCTTGCAGACACATCGCCTCCCTGATGGTAAAGGGTCGTCCATCTGGATGCAGCGCCTGAGGTCCAGCTGTAGGTATGATGTGCTTCAGAGGCTTGTCCCATTCAGCAAGAGGCAGCGAGGGCTTGCCAGTTAWCCGGAATTTCTCTGCTTGAGCTTCTGGATCATGCAAAGTAGCTCCCGCTGGGATGTTCGCGAGTGCCTGTCGGACCGTGACGTACGGGATCAGGCCAGAGCCAATTGGGCCGTGAGTAGGTTGTATGTCCTCTGGCATATTCTGTCCTGGGCACGTTGCGTAAAGCCATAGACGGAGTCTCGCGTTGGGCCCGCCATGGTCTGCGGCCTTGATAGTTCTCCATTTGACACTGAACCCCATGCTGGTGAATTGTTGGATAAATGCATGCCACTGCGGTCTGTGCTTCTTGATTCTCACGAAGCCGGGTGTTTGCTCGAAGATCATGATTCTACAGCCGAGCTTTTTCGCAGCAGCATTTACCTAGAGGGGCGTTAGTAGACTGGTCGGAACATGAGGCTATGATCCCATATACTGACCATGAAAGCAGCGCTTTCGTTCGCTTCGTCATTCCTACCGGCAACTGTGTGAACTGGAGACCAGAACTGGCAGGGACAAGACGAGTGGCAGATGTCGCATATGAAATGACCCACTCCGGTCGGCGAGGTAATGAAATCGAACACATCATCGTGCATTGTTATGCAATTTGGATGGTTTTGTTGGTGCGAACGCACAGCGCACTCCTTCTTGTCAACGGCAACTGCAACGTGAACGCCTGCAAGTCGGGCGGCCTCGGACGCTCCACCGCTGCCGCAGAACAAATCGGCTAGATCTCCTTTGATGGCGGTGTTCTTATTAGCTGCTCCATCGAATGTTCCRCGCGTCCGGCGAAAGTATCGTCGGATGAGTTGGGCATTGGTAAGCCGATAGTCAGCATCAGCTTCGTCCGGCTCCAGCATTAAGCAGGCATGGGAGTTCGACTTCATGTCCGGGCAGTAGTACTCTACGAACTTCCACCTGCAAACAAGATGAGCTTCTGCCAATATGACTGGTCTGTTGTGGACGAGCTTGTTTTGTATTGGGTCCACCATGTACCACCTTGTCTGATCGTCATCTTCGCGGAAGGAAAAGTCGGCGTAATCAGCGTCAACGAACCGAGATGCGGCGTTCGTGAAACGAATCTCACGAATGCAAGTGACTTCACTCAAAGCACGGTCCTGGAGTCCTGCTTCGAGAGTGGGGCGATGGTCGTCCATTGGAATAGAAATGATTGCGACGAGCTCATTCATCGTCGCTGGAAACATACCGCCCGTAGCAGGGTTCCTACTGGAGGTCCTGCGAAGCAGCATGCCGCGCAATATGTATGCATCGACACTGTCCCGACTTTCGCCCATGTTTCGGAAGATGTAGACAATGCGGAGAAACTCTCCATCGCTCAGCTCGACATTGGTCCCAGCTTTGAGCGAGACTCCAAGCATATGCGCAGAGTTGACGATTTTGTAGCCCGCGGGCGGTTTTTTTGCGACTCCGCGGTGGGCATCTTGTTCGAATTTGATCCGGGTGATCTCTTCGAATTCGAAAGCCTCGTCGGGCTCGTCCTCGCTATCTTTGAATGTGGCTGGTGACGAGAGTGAGCTGTTTCCGCGGTGCTTTTCGATGGGCGAGGAAAAACTCGATGTGGAATGGCCAGCGTGACGGCTGCGGGCGTTATTTGAGCTTTTGGAGGGTGTGTGATATTCATCTTTATGTGCTGGGAAGTGAGCCTCGCGGCTGTATTTTGAAGAAGATGGCCGTGAAGAGCTCATGGATGGAGGCTGTCCGCGCTTGGTCGGTGTCTCGTCACAGCCGCTCAAATCGATTATTTTGCGTTTGCCTTTCGCGCGCGGTTGAGATGACAGTATCTCATCGTCGCTCGTCGTGAGATCGATTGGCGACGACATCCTTGCRATGAAGTGATGGGCGGTGTTGCAGTTGAGCTGATGTAAGTGAAGTAATGGAAGTGGTGCGATGAAGATGAGTTTGGTGTGATGCGAGGGGTGCAGCGTTTGTACGAACCCCCAACCGCCGCGTTTTGTTTACTCGCAGTAACGAGGCGGCGAGATCTGCAGGCCGCATTGCTAGGCAACCGGATGTGCGGTCGATAGTTCTGAAATGGACAAGAAGCCACGAGAGGAATGCTCGGATAAGCAAAGTCGGTGAAGGTGACGTTCAAGGAGGGCTAACGCGGATAGAAACGACAAAGGACAGAGAAAGAGACGCGTGAAGTGAAGCGAAGTGAGGAGGGTTAGGTAGATGAAGTGATGCGTCTGAACCACCCATCTCTCGGGCGTACCTAGCTTAAGAATGCAGATACGAAAGCGATGGAGAGCGCATGAGAAGAAAGCCGCCACAAATCAGGACGGCCGTGAAGACAGCAGCAATAGTGCAAGACCAGGAATCTCTAATGGTCTTTCCTGGGCGCTGGCCAGGAGAAGGCCGATGGCCCATCTTTGTTCATCGTAGACAGAATGCAACACGAGCCCTACATCCTTTACTCTTTGGCTCGTAAGTCCAAAAGAGGCAGCGTCATCCTGTCCGGGCTGTCCAGAATACGGATGCTATGGGAGGTGAAAGATGGTCTCTCGGTCCGCTACGCATGCATGTACTCTAGCAAGTACGCGATCGAGCCCACTTAAGGCAGGGTGTGCGAATTGCCCATCTCGCAGCGGCAGAGTACCGCTGCATCGCCGTGCGTCCCTTCCAGAGATCCCAGACCCAGCCGGACTCGAAGTGAAGCTGGAAGTTTTAGCTGTTCCAGCTCATATATTCATGATCATGATCGTGACTGTCAAGCTTCCTCAGCCTCCGCCTCGGCCGCCTTCTCCTCTTCTCTTTTCCGCTTCTTTTCAAGCAATGCCTTGAGCTTCCTTGCAACCCCAAAGCTTCCACCTGTGTCTGCACCACATGCCGCACAGGTCTTCTTCTTTCCCTTCATATACCTCCCCATTGCACACTTCTCACAGAAGTAATGCCCACACTTCGTGACAACAGGAGTCTTGTAATCCTCCTTGCAAATGACACACTTGAATGGAATGTCCCTTAACATCTTCTCCTCTTCATTCAACCCCTCATCCTCTTTCCCTCCGTCCTTCTTGTCCTTCTTGCTCCCCACCTTCTCCCATTCCTTGTCCAGTTGCCAACCTTGCTTGTAATCCTCTCTCGCATGCAAGAACTTACAGCTATCACCGAACCCACAGAAACCCGTCTGCTTGTAGTCCTTGCAAACATCCGGCGCAAAGTCCGTCACAGTGATTGTCCGAACATTCGTGGGAGCTTTCTGTGGTCCCAGCTTCTTTGCGTCTGGATTCTTCTGGATGAATGAGCCATACTGTGCCGTGCCACCATACACGCCATCCTCCTTTGCTTGCGCCTCCTTCACAGGCGCATCACCAGCCGCGAGCGCAGCATCAGTAAACCATGTGCTTGCCTTGGTAGCATCGTCGTTGGCGGTGATGTTCGTGGAGCGATCCGCAGCATATGCTGTAGATTTGCGAAGATCCGCTGCACGAGCAGTTGATTGTGTTGTCGTAACTCCTTCGGTGCGACGACGTTTTATGCGTACGCCATTCTCTTCGGACGATGTGTATTCGGACTCGGAGTCTGCAGGAGGAGGTGTTGCTGGACGTTTGCGAAGATTGGTCTTGTTGTTGCGCTTCTTGAACACTGGAGGTGCTGCAGTATCGGCCATGACTGGGGGATGTAAGGTAGAAATGTCGTCGTTGAAGTGAGGGAAGAAGATGTTCAGTGGCGGCAGGATGATTAATCTGCCTCGAGTTTGATGGGAAGCCGGTAAAATATTGAGCAGGCTTCGGTAATTCAGCTGAAAGCCTTCCAGGCCCGGTGGAATTGAAGATTGCCGCCCTACCAAAAATCTTGCATTTCTGTCTGTAACAACGACAGCACGAAAAAGAAGACATTTTTGATAAGACAGTCAATCCTACGAATTTGACTCTCCGCAAGGCTGCTGCTTTTTGTGCTTATAGCTACCTGTTCGTGAGCGTTGTCGTCGATTCACTTTAAGGAGAGGCAGCAATCTTCAACTTCACCGGCTCTTGCTTCAAACTTGAGCCAAGATGCCAGCCGTCCTGCAACCAGATCAAGAAGACATCATTCGAGAAAATATCTATCTGGGTCTCCACGAGACTGCTTAAGTGGTACTTGTAGCTGGTTGTCCGCGAGTGTGGTCGTCCATCCACCAGAATGGGAGCCGGTAAGCGTCAATTGGAACCTCACACTGTACTTCCTTTGCCTTCCTTCCACCATTACTAGCAAAAATTGCAAACAGCCCGTATTTTCTACTATCTCTCTTGACTGGACATTTGCCTGGCCATGGTGTTGGAGGGGAGCTGACGGAGCAAGAAGACATGAGCCGGAGTTCGAACGTGATCGTTACACTATCAGACATAAGTGGCCGTCCAGGATAACAACACTGCTCCACGCTGCAGACACCATCACCAGTCTACTCCTCGGACCGCGACAGTCTGTCCCATTGTTCTAGCTGGCATCACGCTCTCCGCTGGGCAGATCTCTGGCCTCCGCGGGTTCATGAATGAGTGCCTCCGATCCAGTATCTTGCGAGGCTGCAATAAGTTCGGGATCTCGACTTCTACAGGAAATCTTGGGACTGTGTTTGTGGCGTGCTGGGATGTATTTGGATGGGCGCTACAGTTACCGGGAGTGTTGTGCCTGGTAGTGGTATGATGGGACTGGGTTGATGATCGGGAGTGTTATGACTGAGAGCATTACTCCAACGAGCTTCCCCCACTTGAATGAAGACGAGAAGCGTTGTGGCTGAGAGCAATGTTCCAACGGCGGCGATGAGTATTGTTTTTCCTTTTTCAAGGGGTCGAGCAACTTGCCGCAGGTTGCTAGTGCGGCTATCAACGAACGATCTTTGCCTGGGTTGAGGCATCACAACATGACTGGCGATGAGGACAGTGATACATGTGCCATCTGAAAGACAGTCCTTTACTCGCCGTTCCCTCTCCATCGTAGCAACCATTCTTTCTTATGCCCATCGCTTCCAACACGGAGGGTTCAAGGGTTAGGGTTGGGGTAGTGTCATGTAGGGAGAAAGAGGGAGTATACGACGAATACACTCAGTCTCATGACGTTGTGCTCTGCTCCTCGCGACTCCTCAATCTACCGTCAGCTCTAAGCATCATTTCGTATTGCTGGCAGCTCCCCAAACCATTTCGGCTTGATGAGCACATGACAGAGTCTATGATACCTCACCACGACCTGGGCGAGGTTTGAACGAATGTGATGTCATCTCGTGAGGCCAGACCAGAGTGAAGGAGGAAATGAATCCGATGTAGTGAAGTTGTCCGTCTCGATTCGTCGCGGGAAGCAATTGGCGATTCCGCCGAACGAGGGGGAAACAACCACCTCACGTTTGGTAGGGCTGAGACATGCGACATATGTCACCGATGCAGGGGAAATTGCTTGCGTGAACACCTCGCGGCAATTGAAAGCCGAACGTATGAAGATGTTGATGTGCATTTACTGAGAGTGATTATTGTCGCAGTAGTTCTACAGTGGTGATAAGCCGTAGCTGCGCGAAGAGGTGACTCGAGCTTGGCGCATCGGACGATCAACAAACAACATCATCAACAGCAACAAACCTGCATCCGAAATCTTCTCACGCGCCCGTTGCACCGCCGCTGCATCCCCTCATCACCTTTCTTGTACGCACCTTGTCCCCATCTCCACGTTCCCACCTGTGCCTTTCCCTTCCGATTCTCTTCCCTCAAGTTCCCACGCGGAACAGAGGGCATGTTGTTGATTGGCCAGGATTGGCAGCGGTAAACACTCGAGTCAGCGTCAGCGTCAGCGTCGGCGTCGTCAGAGTTGTCGTCCGTCCCGCATTGACACTGCATTGCATTGCCATTTCCTTGCCTTGGTTCGCCCGTCCAAACAACACAACCTCACCCAAACTCCGAGGCCCTGCCGGCATATTCTCCTCCTTCCTTACCTTACCTATTCTACTTGTCCTTGGGCGGGACAAATTGTCTGAGACAACGCCCGGTCCGGCTTGCCAGCCGCTCATCAGGATCTGCAAGCGGTGCGAGACACGCTTTGCGACCGCGCGCGTCTGCTTACAATACCTGCACTGCCGGGACGACATTCTCTTTTCGTTTCTTCTGTTCACCACGTCGGAGCTTGACTGCAACGACCCACGCCCGCAATCATGGCGACGGCAAACTTACCGCCTGGCGCGGTGCCCACGAATGCCGAGGACCCCTTCACCTCCGGACCATCGCAGTCCTCGGCGCCGCTACGATACGGAGCATTTGACAATGAGCAGTTCTCGCTGTACTCCACAAACTCGCCCTCTGCCGCGAGACGAGCGCTTGAAGCACATCTCAAAGACACGGATCGGCGGATTCAGGATGCTTCTAAGCTGGGTAGTACCCTGGTCCAGCAGAGGAGGGATCTGGCGGCCAAACTGAAAGAGGTTGAGCAGATGCAGCAGGATGGTGAGGTACCCGATGATCTGCGCAACAGGCTCGCAGAGCTGGAGCGGGAGTACAACGAGATTGGGCAGGACACGGCTCGAGCATTCCTCCCACGAGGCAGGATAGCCAGCGACACGGCCGGACCGGACGGTAGTCCCGTGATTTCAGGTTCCGGTCGAGAGTCGCCAACGAAGCTGTCGATGCCTTCGAGAAGGCAGCGGAATCAGCCCACCCATCGTGTCCACGATATTGAATTCGCAACGGAGATTAGTACCTCCCTCCTTGCTCAAGTTCGACAATTGCAGGCCGCGCTGGCGGAAAAGGACGAGGCGCTGAGAGACACCAATGCCGCCAAATCTCACCTCGAGTCCGAAGCTGCAAGCCTAGTGCAACGAATACGGCATATGGATGAGAGCGAGCAAAAGTACAAAGATGAGAATTGGACCCTTGAAACACGATTGCAGGAAATGGAGGCGACTCTGAAGCACACCACAGACAAGGAAAATCGGCTGGCCCAGACATTGATGGCGTTGCAAGCGGAGAAGGCGGCGAAAGAGCGGGAGCTGGATGACCTCAGAGTGTCGCATGATAAGCTCAGCGAGGAACAGGCCATGACCAAGAGGATACAAGAAACTGATCTTCATGGTCTACGGCGTGACGCTGCGTCTCATGAGACAGAAAAGCAGCGTCTGACAAGGAGGATCGACGAACTCACGATTCAAAACACCGAGCTTGCAAAAGCTGTCTCCTATCGCTTAGCCATGAGGGCCCAACCCTCCGACACCGATTTCGTTTCCGCAGAGGAAGGTGTCCGCTCTGATGATGATTTTCCAGATCATAGCGAGCCTACATCCCCCATCAAGGGAACACCGGCACGACATGGTATGCTGGAGTCGGAGACCCTCAAGTCCAGTCTCAACCACGCTCACCGCATGATTCAAAATCTGAAGAACAACATCCACCGTGAAAAGACGGAGAAGCTGGAGCTGAAGCGCATGCTACAGGATGCTCGTGACGAACTTGAGACTCGCCGTGACAGCGCTGCAGGTGCGAATGCTACAAAGAAGCCTCGAGCATCTGACGGGATCAAATTCAAGAGACCGTCGAAGCCTTTGGGCGCTGCAAGGCCGAGCACGACAGAGATTCTCGCAGATGAGCCGGAGTGGGAAGACTCTATCGAAGAGCAGACWCCTAGCAAGCCAAGACCCAGGGCTCATCAATATGGAGGCAGCTCGTATGATGCAGAGACCACCGACGCAGATTTCGAAACGGCCAACGAGCGTGATACCACAACTGAGAGCGAGGCTTTTGCGACTGGAAATGAGGACTTTGGCGATGATACCGAAGGCGACTTGACAGAGACCGAAGCTGATCGCAGCATGCATTCTTCCGCAATTTCTACCAAGCCTGGTGATAGACGGAGCTACATGTCCACCGCTTCTACCGATGACGAGGAAGGGAGTGTGAGTACACCCGTGCAGAATGGCGGTCTGCCCAAGTATAAGTTGCGACTCGGCAGAGGTGGCGTGAGGAGGTCTGCTGGTTATCGCGTTGGTAGCGAACGATCTGGTAGTGAAAGCATCGGTACTCCGCAACGGCCCGCTCAAACGCTGGGAGATGAGCTGGAAGGAATGGACGACGACAGCAACGAAGGCACACCGGCAAGTTTGCTTTCTAACAGGGACGAGGCGCTCGACTACGGGCTTGAGAGCCCGGAAACCACCAGGGCGGTCAGTGTGGGACCAGAGACACCTTCCCGGTCAACAATCCTGCCCACTCTAGCGCCTCCATTCGTCGAAGCGAGGGCTGCGATGGTGGACGCTGGCGTCATGACTGAGCCATGGGAGCCAGAGCAGCGTGGAGTGACGGTCGCTGATACTGCGAACGCACACACAGAAGCCACCGAAGCGGAGCCACAGACATTGAGAGAGCGGGCGGGAGACCTGGTTGGCGGTGCTCTGGCCGGCTTTGGACTCAGTCGAGTCATTGGTCACAGTTCTGGACAGGAGGCTGAGCGTCCGGTGACGCCTAAGGCGGAGCTACCAGAAGTCAACCTTCAACGGAGAGATTGGGGCTCCGATGCCTTTTCTCACAGCACACAACAGAGACATTGGGGCTCCGATGCCTTTGCTCACAGCACACAACAGAGACATTGGGGCTCCGATGCCTTTGCTCACAGCACACAACAGAGACATTGGGGCTCTGATGCATTTGGTCACAGTCTTGGACAGGAGGCTGAGCGTCCGGTGACCCCCAAGGCGGACTTGCCAGAAGTCATCCTACAACAGAGAGACTGGGGCTCCGACGCCTTTAGTCACAGTCCACCCAAGGAGAAGAAAGTCACCGCGGCTCCTTTCCAACAGTCCGAGATCTTCGCACAGGAGACCGAACCTATTTCTCCGCCTCGGCCGGCCGCAGTGGAAACGCTTTCAGCAGCACCATCGCAGTCACAAACCTCGGAAGCCGGCTTTCAGTCTGTGCAATCGCCCCGGCAAGTCGACATTCCTGCCGTGGCACCTGTTCTCCTCTCGTTCTCTCACATTCAATCGCAAGACATCGAGCCTGTCGAGGCTCCGGAGGAATTCGACGGTTTGGTTGGCGCAACCTCAAGTCTTGCGTTTGCCGACGAGCTACACGAGATCGACACACGGCAAGATGTTCACGACAACGGAGATGTGGTACCTGGCGCTGACGTTGACGCTCGTGGCGATATTCACGGCATTCCCGGCACTGCTAATGCAGCCCCCGGCGCTGCTCTCATGTCGTCTAGCAGGCAGAGCTCAGATGCCATACCGGCGCCGGAGCGCAGTGCCCAAGTCATCCAGCTTCCTCCAATGGCCGACGAGGGATCTCAGACTCTGGTCTCCGGTGAAGACATTGACAGGATGATAAAAGATAAGAAGGCTGCTGTTTTCACCCCGATCGTCCAGGCAAGAGATGTTACAGATGCCGGGTCTTCTCCTTTGCGAGTCTCTACCAGCTCTGCCGCGGCCACGCCTGGTTCGCCGACGAGAAGACTCTTCCCAGACAGTAGCGCTCGGCCGTCTGTGTTCGATAGTCCAACTTTAAGAGCACCGCTTCGACCATCAAGCGCCGGGAGTGGCACCGCAAGAGTGTTTCTGGGCGCGCCTCCTCTCCCACCAGATCATACCGAGAAGATCGCCGCTGCAGCTCAATCCACACCTACGCCAGCCGGAGGWGTGTTGGGCGCGAACATGGGTCCACCAAACATGCCTGCGTCTGCGTACAAGCCAAGGCCAAAGACTCCCGCCTCTCGCGACGGTCCTACCCCACGTCAAACACGCCCGATCAAGGAAATCCGACCTGTGGCCTCGCAGTCCGACCGCATCTCGCACCGAACATCTGTGTCTTCATTTGCGTCTGAGCTTGACGAGCGATTCAACATCACTCGGGGTCATATCATGTACCCGACCGACGTCGAACCTGCCACAGATCCTCGCATGATTCAAGCCATCACCCAGACTATGATTGGTGAGTACCTATGGAAGTACACTCGCAAAGCTGGTCGCTCCGAGACTTCGACCACTCGCCACAGACGCTTCTTCTGGATCCACCCGTACACTCGCACGCTGTACTGGAGCGAGCAGGATCCCAGCACCGCGGGCAAGAACATGCTCAAAGCAAAGAGTGTCGCCATCGATGCCGTACGTGTCATCAGTGATGATAATGCCTACCCGCCAGGTCTACATCGTAAGACGATCGTGGTAGTCACACCGGGTAGGGAGATCGTCTTCACTGCACCTACGGGACAACGACACGAGACATGGTTCAACGCTCTCTCGTACTTGCTCCTCCGCACGGAAGGCATCAGAAGAGAGGCGGAAGACCAGCTCACACAGGATGAGCTGAACGAGTTCAACCCTGCTGTGGGTTTCGCGGGGACTGTGAAAGCCAGTATTGCCAAAGCCACGGGTAGAAGCCAGAGCAAACAAAGCCGGACAAGCCTGAGCAGTTACAACTCCCGCACCACGAGAACCAGCAGTCCACAGCGGTATCAGTATTCTACTACAGGAGCTCGTGATGGTGCAATCAGTCAAGCCAGTTATCGCACCGCGACAACGAACCGCAGCACAGGCCCCGAACAACCCGTAGGTAGCAAAAGCAACCGCGCTTTCAGCTCCATGGCTAGTCGGTTTCACCGCCCAGGTAGCAGCCACGCTTCACGGACGAGAAGATCCAGCAGTCTTGCCCGGAGGAATCTCATCGCCGGAGATCCAGCGGCGATCTATGATGCCAGTGTCGTCGGTGGAGACAGCGCAGAAGACTTGAGAGCGGTCATTGAGAGACAGGAGCGTGAGGCTGGAGTGAGGCTCGAGAATGTTCGGGCTTGTTGTGATGGTGAGTACATCGGGCATGAGGTCTCGACTTGACGGTGCTAATCGGTGTGTAGGAAAACACGACGTGGGCAGTCTGTCCAAAGGAGGGAGATTCGGGAGTGGAGCGGGCAAATTCGGTGTGCATGCACACTCGCATTCGCATCGGTGAGGCGGTTCGGTGAAGCACCTCATGTCTTGACGGCACTTTTCATTTTTGTTGCTTGCACTGGGAGGTCATCCATCTTTTCTCTCTTTTTCGACTGCGAATGGCGTTCGAAAATGAATGGTATGGTTTACCAAAAGAGAAGGACTGCGTAATGTCTACGATTTCTGGCGGTCTTCTGCGTTCCCCATTGCCACAGCGTGTATGGGACTTTACGTTCCCGTGTCTCTCTTGTATAGTTTCAGGTATATACTTGAAATCGATGTCTTATGCAAAATGATTGTGTCAGTTGGATTGTAAGGACTRTGAAGTCAAACTTCTGATAATCTCCTTCGTATGTGCGAACAATCCTCCTGCAGCTCTCCCATATCCGGAGGATGCAGTCCAGCCCCAGGCTGTCCTTAGCAAGCAATGCTGACGAGGTCTACGTCCTGTGCAACACTGACTGTGGATTGAAAATGTTCGTTGCAACTCCCGAGTCGAGACCAATCGCGTGCGAGGTACGCAAGCCAGGTACAAAACATTCACCAGATGCAACCCCGCAAACTCTATTCCGTCCGTAGGTACATCCTCTACACATGTGATCTATTCCCCCTCGCTTTCTCCCAAAGTTCCTGTTCCGCCCATTCGCTCCAGCCCCTCCTCCAGTGTTGTGACTGCAATGGCACGGCCAGATGGAAGCACTTCTAATCACATATGAGGTGGCTCTTCCAACTCCTCATCTTGTCGTAACCACTTTCTGCTATCATCATCATGGCTCTATCTCTCCAAGGCAAAGCAGCGCTCATCACAGGCGGCGGCTCAGGAATCTGTCTAGAACTCACTCGCAAATTGCTCGCTGCAGGATGTAGTGTTATTATCGCGGATCTAGCTTTAAGGCCTGAAGCCGAAGAAGTCGTGAACCATTCTCCGGAACCTAGGGCTGTGTTTATCAAAACTGATGTTGCGGATTGGAATCAATTGCAGGCTGCTTTTGATAAATGTTTGGAAGAATTTGGGAGGTTGGATATTGTTGTTCCTGGGGCTGGAGTTTTTGAACCTGTGAGTCTTTTTCCCTGTTTACTTTCCTTTGAGAGAGAGGAGGTTTGTTTGTTGGACTAATGGCGCGATGAATTTGTAGAGCTGGTCGAGTTTCTGGGAATTAAACCAGGGCGAAGATACGAATGCTTCTTCTTCATACAAGACTTTTGATATCAATATCAATCATCCGATCCGAGCGACGCAACTCGCGATTGATTATTTCATGAGGCAGGGTTTGGGACATGGATCTGTGTGTATGATTGCTTCGATCGCTGCGCAGCTTACCCTTTTACCCGTGCCTTTGTAAGTCTCCTTTCTCAACCAAAAGACCGAACTCGAGAAGAAAAAACTCCATTGACAAAGTCAAAATTTCTTCAGATACTGTGCTTCCAAACACGCCATCGCAGGTTTCTGTCGCTCGCTCGCCATGCTTGAACCAGCAAAAAACATCCGCGTTTCGGCCGTCGCTCCTGGGATTGTCAAGACTCCCTTATGGCCTGATGAAAGATTGGAGTGGGTGGATGATAAAGAGGATGCTTGGGTTACTACTGCACAAGTCGCGGATGTGATGATTGATCTTATTACTAACCCGGAACATGTGGGTGGGACGGTGCTGGAGGTTGGAGTGGAGAGGACGAGGGCTGTGCAGACGCTGAATGATCCTGGTCCGCAGGGTGCTGGGTTTACTTTGGCGAAGCTTGCGCAGGGGTTTAATGATGTTTTTCCGGCGTTGGAGAGGAATTTTGGGAAGTAGGGTGGGCGTGGAGGGTGAGGGGAGGATGAGGTCTGGGAGGTGAGGTCTGGGAGATTGAGACAGTATAGTTTAGTATCAGCCAACCATGCCAGTCTCGTATTTTATTTGCTGGGGTTACTTCATCGGCCATAAGATGTGCGGGTTCTCATAAGATTGTTCTTTGACGATCAATCATTTGTGCGTCGCCGAACGTCTCACCATTCCATGCTGTCATTGTAATACCCGACATCAACACCATCCTCTCCCAGTACGTTGACTATCGCAGCTCGACAGACATCCGCCATTTGTGGTGTTCCACACGTAACGATGGCCAAGTTGCGAGCACTGATTTGCCGATACTCCCTCATCACGCCCTCGATATGCGGTCTTCCGAACCGTATCTCATATGGTGGGTTGATTGGTAGCTTATTTGGATCCTGAGCTTCATCTTCTGCCGCGCCTGTGAGATACACCGCCATGTTGACTCTCTTGCTGTGAATCACAGTCGCCAGTTCTTTCGCGCAGATGTCGTCCGGAAGATGACGCTGAGGTACTGCCCAGACGATATGAACTCGTGTCATACAGCCGATCTTTGAAACGAGGAAGTTGGAGTGAGAGATTGCGGATGTGATCCCGGAGCCACCACAGATAACGAGGACGTCCGAGTAGTGGGATAGATCAAGTGCGTCGCCGTAGGGTCCCTCGAGGAAAATAGTTTCTTGAACCGAAATCTGGTCTGCGGAGTTTATGAGTTTCTTTTGGAGTCGGGATGTCATGCCGGAGTACGGTCGAATCAAAAATGAATGGGCCACCTCGTTGTCTGGAAGGTCGTCCGAGCTCATTGAGCGGGCATGGTGGTCGACTTCCTTCTTTGCAAAAGATCCGGTTGGGGATGAAGGCGGGGACATATCTGGTCGAAGCCACGAACACATGGTGAATGGATGGCTTTCGTAGCCGCGAAGTCCACCAGGCATGTACATGTAGTAGTATTGCCCAGGGACTATTGCCTTTTCGGGGAAGAAGTCGGTGATGTCCAGGCGTACCATCTCGGTGGTTGGGTGATAGCTTGCTGTAGCTTTGACGCCATGAGCGAACCGTGGCAAGACACTGGCATAGACTGTACGACCAATACGCAGCAGCCGATCGATACTCCAGATAGCAATACATGGCCAGTAAAAGTACGAAAATTCGCCGTTGAAGATGCGGATATGGCTGGTATCATTGTCAGCTTCCATGAATGTCACTTATAGCAAGTCAATGTAACTTACTACCACAAGCACACTATGAAGATAAGAGCCATCGAAAAATGAACGGCGAGGAACAAGTCGTAGCATCTAGCTCGGAAGTAATAAGCGGAAGCCCCCATCATGAGCGACATGACGATGGTAGCCTAGAAGTGGTCAGCATTGTCAAGATCGTGCATCAAAATGACTTACAATCCCTCCAGTGTACCAATATTCGAGCTTCCAACTACTCGCGTAGTCGTTGTAAGTGGGAGTGCTATTGTAGTGAGAAAAGACCGAGTACGCAATACTATGCACAATGGCATGCACCGTCGAGATTCTAGCAATCCATCGATGGAAGCGATTATATGTGGCATAAGACCATCCGGTGAGCCACAAAAAGGGGTCGTTGCGGGCAGCAAAAAGCCAGACCATGGGAAGTTGAGCCATCGAGAGGAAACCGGTGCGGTCTCCAATGTAGCGACTAAGCTGCAGTTCTTTACCAGCGTAGCTGTCTACAAGTCAGTGATGTCAATGTAAAGCGCGGATACAAATCGTACTATAGATTGCCAGTGAAGACATCGTAGCCCGGGAAGCAGAACACAAAGTTCATGAGTAAGTAGATCACCAGCAGGACAGWTTCCATTCGAGGTGGGATTGTGCCTGTTCCCGTGGCTTCTTGACAGTGCTTCCCAAAGGTTGCAGGGAGGATAAGCTTCCTTCGAAGCCACAGCCAGGTACTCGATTCTCGCTTGTGGGTATGCGATGAAACATCGCGAGCCATGAACATTTCAGAGATTCGGTGTACCATTCCAACAAGAACGACAAGGGCCCAGAAGCCGATTAGTGCGAAGCTGAAGGTGAATCCAAGGTCCCAAGCTCCGTAGAACGATCTCTATACATTGAGTCAGATGGGGCCATTCATCGGCATTATCAACCCAACGACCACGAGAGTCGTGACGACTTACGTCTGTACGCTCCCCAATTGCCGCCCATTCCTTCTCCGGAATTACAGTCGAATTCAACGGCGCCGCAGCAGTCGCAGCAGCAGCAGTGGAGTTGATCCTTGGTAGAGCGGCCAGTGCTGTGTCGGAGAGAAGGTATTGTGCAATGGTAGGAAAGGAGATTCCGACTCTCTCACAATCTGGCAACAAAGCGCTGCGACCAGCGATTGCCTCTTCATAGGTGCAGTAGGCCTGAGCACAGTGGAATATTGACATGATCTGCAGTGTATTGCTGCATTGTAAAGTACGCCAGTCTGCATCGGCAGATAGTGTATCAGGCAGGGTGAAAGTGATCGATTTGACGGTAGTCCGACAGCCATCAACTGCAAAGGACCGGTGTCAGCTTCAATATCAGGCGTGCATAAGATGGGAAGGTCAAGATATACAACAATACTGATCGGACTGCGGGTAGTAATCTTTGTACCAGCTGAATTGCTGCATTTCGTGCTCCTCAGCGAAGGCAGAGGATATCCAGAGAGACGCCAAAACCAGCGTCGATCTCAAAAAAGGCGCCATGGTGAACGGAGATTACTGAAGTCGGCGTAGGGGCAGCAGGGAAGAGCTTTAGTATCTTCCGGATCAATWCCAGACAGGGGGCCCCATGTAGTCACGAAACCTTCAAATGGCCAGATGCAAGCTTCATCCCGAGGCCATATAAGGTACTGTAGGAGCAGTCCATGCAAGCAATCGAGAGAACAGTGGGGGGCGATGAGAATTGTGGTGACCTTTGGAGGGTGACGTGTAAAAGAAGTCCATAACTGACTGACTCGCTGCATTTTTGGAGCTTGACCGCTAGGTGCAGATGCATAGGAAAGAGTTAAAGAGTGGTGCTCGAATCAGGTCATTGATCAATCTGATAAGATGGTGTCGGGAAATGGAAGAACATAGGAAGAATCAAACCTGGCGCAAAGTGGCCAATCGTAGCCATATTTGATGGGATTTGRGTTCGGCGTCGATCAGGCGTCCCAAGCCTTCTCTGACAGTGATGCTGTACTCCGAGTGTACCGTTGCGATCCTATCAAGACAAAGCTCGGAGGTTTCCAATGCTCTTACCATGAGGACGGCGTGCTCTGTGTGCCTCCTACAGCAATGGCATTCGGTTGTTTGGCGAGGGCTAGCAAGTCATCTCTCACTGGGCCGTAATTCTGTAGGAGAGATTGATGAAGAGCTCGCTGTGAAGTGGCGAAGGACCGATCCTACACGAGCTCCGTGTACGACACTGAGTCCTGTAGGCGGTAAGTTGCAGACGACACCGGTTGGAGAAAAGGTGGCCAGTATCCTCTAGTGTATGTCCATAGGAAAACCATGTTGATGCTCGACCAGCCCTTCGACTCTCACGATACCGTATGGAGGAGTCATGCAGGGACGGTATTGAAGCTTAAAGACCCCGGCGGCCCAGTACAGGGACTCTTGCTGCGGGAAAGGACGAAGTACGAGCCTGCGTCTGGTAGTGAGCTTGTGGTCGTCATTGCAGCGGACTTGCATTTCTCTCCACCATACTTTATTCCTTCAAAAGACCGTCTGTAACGTCGACTGCGAATGAGCGGATAGTCGCWCTAATCTGGCAATCCACACCCTGTGGATGAGGGAGTAGAAAAGGATTCGAAATAGTCGCTCCTCGGCTCCCATTTGACCTGTTCATCTGATCAAGGACAATGTAGCTCCGAGCCTACACTGGACAAAGGCAGGGTGTTAGGTACCCTATCCATTGTAATGCCATCATCTGGAACAGTGCCAAATCCAATGCGATGCTATCAACTGGAACATCGCCAAGTCCAGGTGAAGAGCACGCTGCGGAAAAACAATCAGCGCGCTCACTCAGCGATGGCGGCAGCGACAATTAGCGATATCGGCCAACTCACTCAAGCAAGCTGGTCAAACCTTACTCGACGGCATCACCCCTTTGTTGTCCCAAGGTGTTCTCTATTATCACCACTTGCTTGTTCAATGCCATATGCCAACTGCAGATTATTGTGACAGTCATTCCATCATGGCGAGCAGTGCAAGCCTTCTTACCTGTGCTTTATCTTCCCTGGACCCAGATGTGGAGCATTAAGGCACCATGTTAGCGCCCCGCACCTTGGAATCCTTGCTGGAGCTCCAGGATCCCTCTCTTTGTTGAGAGAAAAGGACGAAAGGACAGGATGGAATGCGGGGACACACGAGGATGCTCCCATTCGCAGTTTTGAGCRATTCTGAACGGAGAATGTCAATAGGCCACAAACGAGCTTGATGTTGATACAGAGCACATCGCCTCGGTACCGTACATGCTCATACACTCTCTTGAGAATCATGTCCACAGCCCGCAAGAATCCATCATCTTGAAGCAACCTCCTACAATTTACTCTTGCTCTTCGCAACATACGTCGCAATAGCATCCATCAACGGAGGACTCAAACAATCATAGCTCTCCAATCCCACCTGGAAGTCAAAAAAAAGTCAGCATTGCAAAGAAACCATCCCAACAAAACCCCCTCCAATATTCACAGGGCAACATACCGACTTGAATTTCCCGCGTACATCCTCAATTCGACTCGGATCAAACCCCTGCTCAATAACACTGCTCACAAAAGCAGCAAACTGCGGTTCCTGCCATCCCTTGTCCTTTGACAATTCCACATGCACAAAGTCCAAGCCCTTGAAAGGATGATCAACATGAATTCTCCCAAACATATGCACGCCGCATTCCCTGCACGCATTCCGCTGGATAGTCGCCGCTTTATTGACGACGGAAAGTTTGTAGGCGTTGGCCGTGACGGAGAGATTCTCGACCGGCACCACCGCGACGACGGAGAAGAGCGATCCCTTGGGTTTCCAGCATAGCGAGCATCCGCAAGCGTGGTTGTGAAGGACGTTTCCCTTGATGGTTACCACCACGGGGTTGGAAATGCAGTGGCATTTCAATGTGCCGCCGTTGAAGCTTGAGCTGCCTTTTTGCAGACCATTGTCGATTAAAGGGTGGATTTTGAGACTCATATTTTTCCGCTTTGTGTTTGTTTGTTGTTGTTCGAGAAAGTGTAGGAATTTTTGGGAATGCGTTGTGGGATGGGGTGATTATAAGTATGATGAAAAAAAGAGCTCAATGCTTGGGTTCTACCTTACCTACCTGGACATTCGCGCGCGCGCGCGCAATCAAGCGGGGTCATCGCGGAGCAATGCGGCTGGTTTTTGACTATGCAGGGGTACTGATGCTGAATGAAGATCATGCATGGGAGGGATTACAAGGAAGGTGTGTGGTTCCAAACGCCGTTCTGGTACTGATTTCCCCTCACACGAAAGCGAACCCGGCTTGGTATTCGATATCTTAGAAATCGACCGAAACCGATCGAAATCGCCAAAAACTAAAGGGCAGGTCAGATTTGGCGACTGAGGAAAATAGTGAGTGTATCGTGCAAAAATTGAGACTCCATGTCGCTGACTGGCTGTTGTGAAGCTTCTTGTCACTGAAATGGTCGGGCAAGATCCATCGAAGTGTCCGTTGCTGGAGCCGGCCAATGTACTACCAAACATTGTCTCTATCGTCATCATAGAGACCTTGTGGGCTATGCGGAATCGTGTCTTGGCTTCTCGCATGTGATTGTTCGAAAAGGGCCTCCAGGCGTCGAAGTTGGAGTTTTCGCCGCAGTGAAGCGGGCCAGACTCCGCCTCAGCCATGCCTCGGAAACATCATTCTTCAAGGCCAACACACTGTTAAAAGCTTGTGAAAGACTATCAGTTATCTCTACGTTACACAGGTGAGGTTACGATAGACTCGCGTCCGTTGTTTGATATCCCATGGATGCTGGCTGACCTTGATGGACTGTGGAGCCATACAGAGCCAGGGCTGGGCAGTCCATTTCGCATCCCGTCTCCTTCCTTGAGGTATCGATACGATGCAATGGGTTCAGCCCATCTCCTCCTCCGAAATCAACAGCAAATGCATTGATGCTCGTACGCGCATGAAAGCTAGAAGGAATCTCGACCTTCACATCACAGCACATTCCCTCGCCGTCCCGATCGGGCAGAACGACCTCAATCCGTCATCACTTTCAAACACAGCAGCGAATCGTGCTGATATCTGACCTGAATACTCGCCACGCCGAGAGCTAGTTCTCAATTGACAGGGATAGCATTGTAGTCACCTGGTATGTCTTGAGCCTCACTCTGCTTGGCCTTGGCCTGCCGCGGGGGGCTCAGAGGCAGAGGGCTAGTAGCCTTCCTCTTACGGCCGGTAGCCTGCTGAGTCTCCACCGAAGACATGTCGCGCGGCGGAAAGACCGATTCAAACTCGTCGGCCTCGAGATCGTACGGTGTGTCCATCCCGAAGCTGCTGTTCTGGACACCACTCGGATAAGTGTGTCCGGCTCTTGGTGGGAGACTTCTGATCAAGAGGTTGGCCGGATTGATCGTCGCGAGGCGATGGTCGATGGGATCGTCTCGCTCGAATGCGCCGCGCGTGCTGCGGGGCGACTGGTCTCGCTGGTACAAGGCTTCGACTGCGTCCAGATCCTCCTCGGGACTGTCGCTCCTGGTGGCCGCGGCAATCGGAGTGGACATACTCAGCCGCGCGGCATTCCTCATTCGGTGTCTGTCAACATACATGGTGCCAACATTGTTCCGAGTAGATCCGTTGTACGGCTCCAGAGAAGAAGAGATCGTCATATCAGCGAGGTTGCGGCGCGTTTGTTCTTCAATAATGGCCATGCGTCGCTCCTTTTCCCGGAGAGCCTCCGCAATCTTCACAAAATGAGAAACTGGAACTGGAATGACCTTTCTTGGTGTTTGAACTGGAGCCGAGTCTTCCGAAAGAGCCCTTGGTATTGCGGCCCGATTGTCTGCCAGGAATGGATCGCGGTGGGGTGGAGGCGCAGATGTGGATGGGTAGGTGCGATGTCTGTTCTCTCCAGCGAGACCCTCAACTATCGGTCTTGATTGGACGCGTGCTGTGGCAGCAATGGCGTCCTGAGCCCGAAAGGGAGTCGTGCTTTTGACAGGAGGACCACGCCCACCCGTCCGTGCAGCCTCAATTCCAGCCAAAATGGATTGAAGGGCAGGTGAGGGACCACTAATTTTCGCCCAGGCTGGGCCTGTGACTTGCGTCGCTTCGCTGCTGGAATCCTCGACGCCACCAGCAGCGGCGCCCTCGTGGGATGGGTACGGCGAAGGTCCTCTGGATGACGATCTGCTTGGGCCTGGCGGAGCCATTGGTGGGCGGCTCGAAGACTCGAATGACGGCTGAGTTGCCGATCGTGTCGGCGGCAGCACTGGCGGCCTCATCGACGGTCGAGCCCTTGTTCTAACCACGGTATGATGTACTCCCATGTCTGCCGGATCCACTGTCGGGCGGTCTTCCCTGCCGTTTGACTGCCTCATCAATGCTCTCGTCGCCGGAGGGTGCTCGTCTACGACTCTCGACTTCAACGCTACGCGTTCCTGGATGGTGTAGGAATTCCTCGACGCCGCGCGCATTTCAGCGCGACTTGGAGGAGGAGGTGGTGGCATCTGAGTTGGAGCCACTCTACGTGATTGCGGTGGGTCAAACTGACCACGATCGAGTCCCTGAAGCGTTGGGTCGGACTTCATGGCTTCATCGTGCTCGGGCATGAGGCCCCTCCGCCAGGCTGACAGGTCCCTCTGGTGATAGTATCGCTCTACAGGAATCTTGTCGAGTATGGCTTTCGCCTTCTGGTAGATCTCGTCGCTTTCGCTCAAGGGCGATGACTCCGCTGCTCTTGCAGCGTCTGAGTTGAGAGAGTTCTCTGCTTCACTCGCAGCGTCTGAGTTGAGAGAGTCCTCTGCCACGCTCGGAGTGTCTATGTTGAGAGAGTGCCCTGCGAAGCTTTGATCGCCTATGTTGAGAGATTGCCATGCGACGTTTTGAGCTTCTGTGTCGAAAGAGTGCTCTGCTACGTTTGGAGCGCCTTCGCTGAGAGAGAGCCCTGCGGTGCTGAGAATGGCTTCCTTGAGAGAATGCTCTGCGGCATCGGGAATGGATACACCTAGGGGCCCTGAGGGCGAGCCCTGCTTGCCGGGGCTCTTGTCGGAACTCTGCATCTCCATCGGCGCGACTTGAAAGGGGTGCTGGAGGTGATACTTATCGACAGGTATTTTGTTCCGATGGCGCGACCGTGAGAGCTCTGCTGCGTGATACTGCGAAGAATTTTACGGTGAGATTGCGAGGAGGCGGAAGATATCCTGCGTACGGCGCTGAGTTTGTGACAGTTGAGTAGCTGTCGTAAGTAGACGTGCTGTTCTCCGGCGGAGGTCAAATGCAGCGCGACGGCGATGGCGGCAGCACCAGCGGCGGTGGCTGGCACAAATTGATCAAAGATCTATTCGGCGTACGTGATGGCGACGGTGTTGAAGGYAGGGTATGGTCGTGAGAGCAGTGACAACCGTCGACGCTTTGTCGGCCAGCTCGTTGCCTGATGAATGCGATGATGTCCGGGGCTAGGTGTTGGTGATGAGGGTGAAGCAAGATGCTTCAGCAATTAGTGAGTCCGAGTCTGCATCGTCAATCTCGAATGCTGACAATAAGGTAGCGAGCGATCTATCTCTCCGACGCAGGTGCAACACATGGACAGCACGTACCCTTATCCACGCAGATACATAGTAACAGCAGCTACTACCGCCACCTCGAAAGGCCTCGACTTACTTCTTCAGGGCGAAGTCATGAGTTCAACCGCATCAACCGCAACTCTACACCAAAAGTACCGGCATCTCCGTCACACGATCATCCAAACCGCTGTCCGATCTTTCGAGCGCACCGCCCAACACCACTTCCTTGATTCGAACGAGCTCAATCTCCTCTGCCATTGGCTACAGCAAGAACACCCGCATACTTCTCGAACCACAACCGTCCTAACCCTCAAGGCGCCGCATCAAGTCCCATGGTATTTCGAAGGAGGATATTCTACAAACACAAGGGCTACCAAACCTGCTGTCTCGCAAAGCTAGTGACTTCAGTGTCATTCTAGGAGGGCTACAGTCACAACGATTGAAGCCATCTTGATAGAACGTACGGCGCGGGTAAGAGCAAGAACTCTTTGGACCGGTGACGCAAGCAATCAAGCCCTGACTACCGAACCATACACGTAAGTCCCGACAGACGGATCCGAGTGTCCATGGTAGTCTCAGCTCGAGCTACCGGCGGATCAGGATCAGAAGTAGAACTCGTGCTAGGTTAACACATATGTGGCCGGATATGGATTGGAAATCTTCAAACCGAGCATGTTCTTCCTAGTGACTCCCGCGAGTCTCTCATCGGCCGAAATTTTGTCGTTTTGCTGACCACTTCCTGCTCCACCTCTCGCAGAGCCTCGGTGTAGCACAATAAAACTGCGTTCTTTGGGCGCAGTCGCGACATGTGCTTGTTCTGGAAACCATTGCCGGCGAGCGAAGGATCCATGATCAGTGCAGGTACGGACCCCACTAATGCAGAACAGAATCGACGTGTTGAGGTCTTCATTGACAGCGCGAGTCACTACACAGCCTCTAGCAGAGCCGCACCTTGGAGATTGCTGCCGTCAAAACTACTGCTACGTATTCTCCCTCACCACCCGAGTAGCATTCTTAGCGACCTAAACGACATTACGCGACGAGAAACAACAAGCGGCGAAAGGTGTGTTGAAGTTTACCGAATCGATGCTGATGTTTGGCCGTAGAGGCAAGGGTGGCATCGCTCCACCTTCCATACATGTTGGAACCGAATGAAGAGTTGGATCGAAGCCATGGCATTGTGGGGCATGGATGCTTTCGTCACAATCGATTGATACACAAGAATGACTACGGGTGATCACTCCACGAGAGTCTACAACAATTGCCGGTGGCTGTTGATATACGGTAAGAGAAGTTGGTCATGCAGACATGGTTCCTCCTCGAGTCTACCACCGGATGATCGAGCGGAGCGCGCAGAGGTTAAAGGATACATTGAACTTCACCTCGCATCGTCTTGGCGATGTTGGCGACTTTGCTTCACCGGATCGCTGCGACGAGCTCTGTCATCACGAAGCCGCGCCATCCGCTACGATGCGTTCCCCGAGTTCCATTTTGCCATGGGCGACCGTCGACGCAAAATCCGAGGCTCTGTGGTCTRGTCCATGGAGAGTCACGTTGAGATTTTGCCTTCGTTGTTCAATTCCTTGCTCAATATTTTACTCCACAATCCGCATGTGCGCTAGCGATGTATTTATCAAGCATTGGCCAAGAACACTGCTTGGCCTGACTCTGGACGCCGCTCATAAGAAGGATATGCCTTGGCGACGGAATCCCTTCTCGAGATCTGATATCACCTCTCGCTAGGTTGCCATGGTGGTGGCACTCGTTGCGGATATGTTCGTGGTAGTCTGGGTGGTCCTCTCGGCTCTACTATTCTCGTTCGAGCAGTCCCAGGCATTTCGACATTAGAGTGGCTATCACTACTGCTAGATTCCTCTTCGCTCGAACTCTCAAAGACCGGCTCCCGAGCACGACCCCCTCTCCTGCGACTAGGCTCTCGAAATTGATGAACCTGTCCTCCTCGATGCGTGATACCTCTGGGTTCCCGAGGAAGACGACGGGAAGCTGCATATCCTGCGAGACGGAGTGCAATAGGGTGGTACTCTTTCTGCTTCTTCTTCTTCTTCTGCTTCTTCTTCTCCTCGTCTGCGGTGACATAGCCAGTCCCTGGTGGAAGTATTTCGGGGTGAAAAGCAAACACTGAGGGTGCAGGCGCAGGTGTCTGCTTCTTCTTTTTCTTCTTCTTCTCCTCGTCTGCAGTGACATAGCCAACACCTGGTGGAAGGAGTTCGGGGTGATAAGCAAACACTGGAGGCGCAGGAGGAGGCTTTGGTGGGTAAGGATATGTTTTGTTCAAAGGTGGAGCCTTGCTGCCAAACGGATTCGAAAGCTTCAGTGTCGGCGCCTTACTGGCCGCAGATTGATGAGGTTGCGCATTTGATGAGGGATGCGACGGCACTCCTGCTGGTTTTGGTCCGGCCGCTGCAGTTGTAGCCGTAGCTTTCCACGTTGGAGCTTTGTTGCTTGTAATCGGTTGTGACACAAAATTTACATGATGAGGCGGAGGAGGTGGCCCCGATGAGTGCTTCACGGCCGCTAATGTCGATCCGGTCTCTGGAGCTGTAGCTTTCGTCGCTGGAGCTTTGTTGCCTGTTATCGGTTTTGGTAGAAGATTTACATTACTAGATGGAGGAGGTAGTCGTGGGAGGTACTTCGCGGATGGTGCTGGCTTGCCCGTAGCCTTCGAATCCGTCAACTGAATTGCCTGGTTGTCCGTCGGTGGCTGTGGCGGTCGCGGCGCTACTGGGGTAGGCAAAGGCGAAAGAGGTGGTGATGGAGACTTCTTCGTGGAAAGTGCTGTCTTCCTAGATGGATTGGACGCTTTTGTCTGTGGTGCCTTGGCTTCTGCCGCTGGTCGTGGTGGTCCATGATTGGGATGAAGAGGATGAGCAGGAGGAGGAGGAACTGGGATTAGATCTTTGTTCAATGATGTTGGCTTCTTCGATGGCTTCACCGTGGTGGGAGAGATAGGTCGAGGGTCCTTTGTCGGCGAAGGGACGTTCACAGGCGGTGGTATCGGGTCTTTTGGGGTTGGTGGAGGTGAAGTGTTGATTGACGATGGCGGCGTGGGATATCCCCGTCGACGCCGTGCAACACAGCACAACAGAAGTCCCAACAAGACTATTGTCCCAAGTGTTCCCACAAATATCCCTCCAATTTGTGCTGGTGTAAAGGGGGTCGATCCCAGCTTCGATGTGGTGGATGTGGAGCCTCGTGCCGCCAAGCCTTTCGTCCTCGCCGTTCCACCTCTTTCAAGAATCCATCTCGTCGTAAAGGACACCGCCGTCCTCGAACAGCATCGACTTGGGAAATCATCCTCACCCGCCAGCATATGTTTATAGCTCGCCGCATGAAGCTGCAGCTATGCATGTACGGAGATGTCTGCGTGCGGCGCTGCTACTTGAGTGGATAACAGAGCATAGCTGAATGTCCGTATATTGTTGCATCCCATCACGATCTCACCACATCAAGAATTGAAAAATGAGGAGGGGAACGAGGCTGGCATTTTCTAGAGCTCGTGCTCCCCTCGCATCTTATCGGCGCGAGTGGAGTGTGCATCCACCATGCAGCTACGGGCGAGGCTGAGTAGGCGAGTCTCTAGCGAGCAGCACCATCTCGCTAAATCCACCAGCGGAGTGGACCTCACCAATATCGAATAACTGAACGAGGACAACACCGAAAGTGTACCACTCGCAGGACTCTGGCACGGCGTTGTGTATCCTTCGGGCTGAAGTCTAGCCCATGGCACAATGGAGGACTCCCCCATGACGTTCGAGRATCTGGACAATCTCTGTGAAGAAGCCCTGGCGGCCTACGAGGAAGGAAGCTATGAAAAGGCCCGCTCTAGATATATGAAGGCACTAAGCACCTGCGATAGCCTCATGGATGATGACTACCGGGTCAGCATCCGTCAGTACTTGGGTATGTGTTACTACCGGCTTGGGGTATTTAAAGAAGCGGCACGGTATGATCGGAAAACGCTGGAGATTTTGACCAGTCGCAAAGATGGAGGCGGTACAAAAGTGGTTGTCCTACGCCACAATTTGGCTCGCGATCTGTCGGCCATACACGACGTCACTCCGCTCGACAATTTGGACAAGCTTGAAGAAGCCATCATCCTTCACGATCGGAATCTCGAGGACCTTCAGGCAATACACGAGAGAAAGGCGGAGCTATTGGAGACCAAGTATAGTCTAGCTTTTGATCTGGCGAAACTTAGTAGATTCTTGACCGACACCGCAGCCATGTCTTCGATACTGGAAAGGGCGGCCGACCTCAACCAACAGGTAGTCAGGGCTAGAGAGCGATCGAACCCAGGGGACCCCCTCACCCTGCAATCAAGGCACAATCTTGCGAGTGTCCTGTACCATCAGAAGGAGTACCCCGAAGCCAAGGAACTACTGCTGAGGAATCAGAAGGAGTTCAGCGCACTCTCCTCGACGGAGAAAAAGGAGCACGCAGTGCTGCGTCAGAGTACTGAGAGGTTTCTCGCGGCATGTTGTGAGGCAACAAAAGATATAAGCTTGAGTATTAAACAGATCACCAAGAAGTCCAAGAAGCCCCGCAAGCCCAGTACAGCCTCGAAGGACGTCAAAGTCGTGTCGAAGATTGCGATTCATGATGATGCATCAGGCGGAAGGCTGTTGAATGCAGATGATGCGACTGCTGTCGTCAAACCGAAAGCTGCTCCGACCGGGCTCGCATCATCCTCATCATATCCCCAAGGCGGACCTCTGACCAGTAATGGTGGAATTGTGCCATCGTCATCATACTCTGGTATCGCTACAGGCGGCAGTTCCAAGGTTCACATGGGCAATGCTACTACCAATGTACATGCAACGAACATTCRTAATCACTACTACTACAACTCTCCGCACCCGGTGCCGGATGGAGTATCTCACAGCTCACATCCACAGCCACATCCGTCCTTCTCTCTGGAAGCTCCCACATCCCAAAATGATGGCGTTCAAAGATCAATCTCGCATGGACATGTTCTCCAAAGCAATTTATTGCTACATACTGCTACTGCTGCAAAGCCGAGGAGCTCCTCAGGCGTGCGGACTCAAAGATCTCCCTCGAGAAACCCGGTGAGGAGGTCAAGAAGCGTTTCCAATCCAGAATTAAGCGGTACAGACTCGAGAGTGGGAGACAAACGTATGTCTGTGCCAGAGATCAGGACTGCTTCCTCTGACGATAGTGATGAACGATCCAGAGGCCGGCGAAAAGATAGGATCCGAGAGAAACCATCGCATCAGACTACATCACTGCATCCTGTGCACTCAAGCGAATCCCGCAGCTCAACGAGCAGACACACACCTCAAATTGGATCAGAAAGGGTAGCCAATGGGAGTTGGGGAGAAGGTATGTATAATAGAAGATGACCATCGTGATAGAATGCCCTGACAGTTATCCTAAGCGTCACCAACGGGAAACAAGGCCGATAAGTKGTTCTCAGATCTACGTGAGCATACGCATGCACTCTTACACTACAACAACAAGCCGCAGATCCCGCATCGACGCCGTGTCCGTGTGGCCATTATAGACTCTGGCCTCGACCGCCCGCCAAGAAATTCTGTTCGGCGACCAGACATCCTCAGACACCGGCATCGCTTCTGCAGATACAGAGATTTCACCCTCGAGGGAACTCGGTGGACCGACAGCGATCATGATTTGCATGGCACAAACTGTGCATCAATCTTGCTCCAAGTAGCTCCCCACGTGGACCTTTACATTGCGAATGTCGTCAAAAGAAGCACAGGCAAACCATCCCCTTCCAGTGTCGCCTTGGCTTTGGAATGGGCATTGGAGAAAGAAGTCGACATCATTTCAATGTCCCTTGGGTTTGACACGATGTACGAAGACATCAGCAAGCAAATTGACCTCGCGAGACTGGGAGGGGTATTGATCTTCGCCGCGGCATCCAACGATGGCCCGAATGCTCCAGACTGGGGTGTCTTTCCCGCCTGGCTTTCAAACGTCTTCTGCATCAACTCCGCAGATGTCGACGGAGCCATGTCCTGGTTCAATCCGAAATACACCGACGAGAAACTCAACTTCGCATTCTTAGGCGAACAAATCGCCATCCTCGATGAACACAACCACACCCCCTTATCCGATCCTCCCAGACTAACAGGCACATCTTTCGCAACCCCCATAGCAGCCGGTACAGCAGCTCTCGTACTCGATTTAGTTCGCATGCAGAATATCGAAGATCAATACCCCAAAATTGAAATCTGCTTGAAAACTTACGAGGGAATGTCGGCCGTGTTCAAGAGGATGAGTAGTCCTCCCACGGCTTTTGGGGCGGAATTCTATAATGTACGACCTTGGCGATTATTGGGTAAGAAGGGACCGCCGCTTTCCAGAGCGGATGAACCGAACGAGTCRAAGCAGTGGTATGCTTTATTGAAGGTTGTGGAGTGTTTGGCTAAATTTGGGGAGTTTGATACGGGGATTGCGACGATGTCGTGAGGATGTAGTATTGGTCTGTCTGTCTTTGTGGGGAGATGTCATTCGATGTTGCTCTCTGGATTTTTTTATACTGTACTGTTGGAAATCTCGAGAATCGACGATGTCTTCTATGCGTACTTAAGATGGCCTACATGGCAGCTAGAATCGAAAACGATCAACAACGAAAGGTATCGAAGCAATCTAGGAGCACCACAGCAGTCCATGCTTCTGTCACCCAGTATATGACAATCGCCAACGTATCATTATGTCCCCGGGATTCTCACTGACTACAACTTCCAAGAGGAGCCTCTTATAAGACAAACATCTAAAAGCTCGGCGATATCTTTCCCAATCCAGAGCGAAGAAGAGTGCAGATATCAGCTTCGCAACTTGACGAGCTATGAATACTCTGGTAAGGCGGGAACAAGCATAAAATCCCCTCATAACTTCAATCGTTCGTGATCAAAGGAAATGTTTAGGCTTAGATTCCACTATAGATGAGCTCCGTATAGACTTAACAAGTATCGTGGAAATATACATCGCGTATAGTAGGGCACTTAAATGATCAGACGACTTGCAATTATAGGTCCTAGAAAAGCCCATTGTTAGAAAAGGAAATATACTACATTTCCCTTAGTAGTAGTACTAAGAAATAAAACAAACCGTAATATCTATAATAACGAGAACGTAATATAAAAGAAATCGCCTAATCGAGACATTCGACTCTCCGTGAGGTCTCTGTATTACACACTTAGCGCTACCCTTTACTAAGCATTATTACCCTCCTTTGACTTTGAGGAGAGCGAGAGCTACCTTAGTAACGTTTGATTTTAGTAGCCCTTTTTTCGAGCGTCTATAGGAGCATGTTTCTATCTCCATCTCTCTCTCTATTTCCATCCCTCTCTCTCTCTCTCTCTCTCTCTCTCTCCCTCTCTCTCTCTCTCTCTCTCTCTCTCTCTCTCTCTCTCTCTCTCTCTCTCTCTCTCCATCTCTTCTTCACATATATACACATCCATACAGTTTCCAAAATCGTATGCCATGCTACGCAACACCCCGCTTAAAACCCCATCCATGCAGACATCCATGCATCCATCCATCTATACAAATAAATGGACTTCAACTCCCATGCTCATTTGATCATGCTCATTTGATCATGCTCATCCGATCAAAAAAAGGTAGTAAATGTACATTTCTTATTCACATCAGAAGTGGAAAATAGTTGATCCAAGCTGGCGGAACTCCTCAAGCGCTGGGAGGAGGAGGAGGAGGAGAAGTCGGCGAAGATTCCGTCTGATTCACCTCGCCGCTCTTCTCCTCGACAACATCCCCAACATCATCATCAACAGCATCCTGAATCCTCTCATCCTCCTCAAAAATGACATCCTCCGCTTCTCCTCCAAAGCTCCCTGCAGGACTTCCATCCCGTGCATCTTCCTCCACCACCACAACATCATCATTCCCCTCCTCAACAGGAGCAGCAGCAGCAGCGTCTCCCACCTCTTCATTCACCTCTTCATTTCCATTTCGAACCCCCTCATTCACCCCCTCAACTCCATTTCCACCTCCAACCCCCACCGTCGCCCCAAACGCCTCCAACCCCCTCAAAAACCCCCTCTCCCTCTCCCGAACCAGCCTCCTCCTCGCACTCTCCTCAAAACTAAAACGCTTCAACACATCCTCAATCCGCTCCTCCACCAAACCCTTGACATACCCCGCGACCCCTCTGCCGCGAAAGATACCATGAAAGCGATAACTCAACCACAACCAACTCACGATACCCTTATGCAACCTCTCCAAAGATCGTAAATAATCCCTCTTGACGCTGATTTCTTGGTCCAGAGTTTCCAACGGTAAACTTTTGATGTCGAGAAATGAGCCCCCAGACTGCGTCGCGATRGYGGTGGCGAGTTCCGGGAGAAGATCTTCCCACAGATCGGCGTCGCTTTTGGCGGCCGGGCAGGAACAGATGATGTTGCGGTCGGAGATGGTGAGGCCTTGGACGGGTTCGATGAGATCGGCAATCCAGACTTGATCTCTCAGATTGCAGAGGTGGAAGCGCGCGTGCATTTGGCTCAATTCGTGTAATCTCGTGAGAATGTAGGAGAAGGGGGTTCCGGGTGGGAAATAGTTGGAAAATCGTTCCAGCACGGGATTGGGGGGGAAGAGACCTGCAGTGAGAATGGGTTCGGGTTCCGAGGACATGGCGGCTTTGACGATGGGGTAGTCGAATTTTTCCAAGGTGGTGATGATGCCGATTCCATCGGGAACGTCGCCAGAGGGAGGCATGGTGTATATTTGTGTGGGTTTCTTGGGTTTGGGGGTGGAGGTTGGTGGGGTAAAGACTCGTTGCACCGTTTCTACGGGATCAATCTCTTCTCTAACCACTTCCTCGGGAGGTTCCTCGCCCTTGACGGCGGCGAGTTCTTGTTCACTGACGTCCTTTCCGTCGCCCTGATTGGCCACGCGGARACGACCGGCGCGACCGCCGATTTGCTTGATATCAGCAACCGAGAGAGTTCTCTGGGCGACACCGTCGAATTTGTTGGCGGCTTCGAAGATTACTCGCTTGATGGCGAGGTTGAGACCCATTCCCACGGCATCACTGGCGACGAGGTAGTCGTACTCGTTGTCGGGATCGTTGAAGAGACGGGCTTGTTGCGCGCGGGTTTCCGGTGGGAGGGATCCATAAACGGTGGCGACCTTTCTTCCGGTCTGGCGTTCAATCTGCTTGCGAAGAGCGTGTATGCCCATGACGGAGAAGGAGACGATGCAGTCACCCTTGCGCAACTTCTTCAGGTTGCCGTTGAGAGGGGCGTCTGCCATCATGAGGGGGGAGAGGCGTTCGTAATGATGCACCGTCAACTTCTCTCCAATCGACGCACACAGTTCCTTGATCAACGGCACCGTCCTCTCCTCCCCACAGAGATGGACTTCGTCGGCCATGACGCCGAGCAAGGCCTGGGTCCAGGCCCATCCTCGTTCGGGACTGCCAATCATCTGAATCTCATCGATGACGGCGACTTCGATGTGTTTGTTAAGGGGCATCATCTCGACGGTGCAGGCCATCATGTCGTACGAGTAAGAGTTGGGGGCACCGCCGCCCGATGATGATGATGATGATGATGATGATGATGATGATGCTTCGGGGGAGGGGTCGGCGGGCGTGTCAATGGCCCGTCGCTCCTCACCGGTGATGAGGGCGCAGGCCTTGCCCTTGGCATTCAGGCGCGTGTAGACTTCATGGGCGAGCAGACGGAGGGGACCGGCGTAGGCGCCACTCTTGGCCTGCTCCAATCGCTTCAGGGCGTGATAGGTCTTGCCGGAATTGGTGGGACCGACGTGGAGGTGGATTTCGCGTTGGAGGGTGCGGGTGCCGGGGAACCATTCGCTGGGATAACGCAAGTCGGCCAGGATCTTCTGATGTCGCACATCGCTGGCGGTGAATCTGCTGCCGATGACGAGGCCGTAAAAGGCGTATTTGATGCCATCTTCCAGCCCATTGTTGCCTCGCAAGCGGTAGGCCTCGCGGAGATCCCTCCACCATTTGCCGGGCTCTCTCTCCCCGTCCCCGTCCCCGTCCCTGTCCCTGTTCTGCACATTCCTCGCGCTTCTTTTGCCTCGGCCACCCTGCTGTACATCCTCCCAAATGCCGTTTGTGAAGTGACGCCACATCTTTCTAAAATCCACGTCTTTGCCCTTGTTCGTCCGGAACGCGCCCGTCCCCACATCCTCATCCATCTCCTCCTCCTCCTCCTCCATGTCTTGCGTATCGCGGGCCCATTGCTTCAACAGCGGCGCATCCTTGACTTCCCGCTCCACCTTGGCCAAACTGTTCGCCAGCGCCTCCTGGAAGCGCGTGTCGAGCCGATCTCTCTGCGATTGCGCGCCCAATCCCCACTTCCGAAGACTTTGCCCGGGAGGCGGCGGGTCATCCAAGCCGGTTTTACGGATGACACTCGAGCCCGCTATCCTCGACCATCCCCGAGGAGGAGGAGAAGGTAGAGGAGGCGCATTTCCCTCAGATGTATAGTAGCGGAGGAGACTCCCATCGCGAGAGGAGGAGGAGGAGGTGGAGGTGCTGGTGGAAGTGGAAGTGGTGGTCGGTTGCAGGAGGTCGTCGAGGTTGATGTGCTCTTCCGGCTTGATGGCGTCGCGGCGGGTGGAAGAACGGTGACGACGTTGTTGAAGKGAGAGAATGTGTTGCCGAAGACAACATCCATGACAGATGTTGTTGCTGCTGCGAGACAGCAGCATTGTGGGTGGGTGAGCCTGTCAATTCAATGCGAGAATTTATTCAATGATGATGATGAAGATCCAGATGGACGTTGCACGGAAACGCGCTCGCGAGAAATTGTTCAGAGGTGACGACGTGTAGCAAGCAAGCCGGGGTTCGGGGATATTGATTCAACCCATCTTCGCTTTCATGGACGACCCATCAATTCCAATCAATCAATCCCGTCTTCTTCGCCGCCAAAAAGAAAAGAAGAGAAGTTTCATCAACAACACAATGGCATGTTCAGGCCAGGCAGCTCAATAATACCACATCCCTCCAGCACCACAATCTTTCCCAACACATTCCATTCCATTCCATCTTAGGCACACAGCCCATTCCGCCCGTCTCACAGGACCCAAAAAGAAAGAGAAAAAGGAACAAAATAACATTCAACACCAGGAATTCCCCAATCGTCACCGACTTGAGTACTAATCTGGCGATTACACGCTTAAATCGGCCAGAGCGGACGGGATGGCTTTTTTTCATGCATCTTTGATCGAATGTGCTCATATCAGGTACCCAAAAGCTCATATCTGCTATCTCTCAGTGAAATTCACAGGGGAACGAACTCGTCATCAATATCGCCAAGAATCAGTCGGATCTGACATGTGAAAGAACAGCCAGCCGACATCTCACGCTTTCGCGAGGAACGTAGTGTGTGCACGAAACTCACCAACCACGCCTGTTTCGCACGACGCTCCATTTCATGTTCGTTGTCAAGACAAGTAGATCTCCCCGAAAATACATCACCGTCATCATCACAGACGAACCGACCGCGCCAAGAAATTTCGGGAAAGATACCTAGCTTCTTTTCGGGTACCGGGTTAACGTCAYGTTCATGAGCAGGGTAGGGCAGGGCATTCATCAGATGGAACTCCCGACAATGAAGCTGTCTCGGTCACTGTGTGGCGTGTGAAGGTATGAGTTCCCGATAAAAAGATACGGGACGAAGCAGACAGAAAATCAATGTATGTAGCAGAAGTCCCTTATGTTGAACGCTGCCTCGTACCTAGAACTACTTTTATGCTATGAAAAGAAGAAATCTTGCACAACCATTGAGTGATCAAAGAACGATGACATCTTACGACTTCGTCATCGTTGGCAGTGAGTGATTCGCAAGCAACAAACAAGGTCAGCAAGCGGTCTGACTGTCAATGATATCTATCCACAGGTGGCCCCGCTGGCTGTGCATTGGCTTCGAAACTTGCCCGGAGTAACAGCCGCCCGAAAGTCCTATTGATTGAGGCTGGCAAAGATTATCCCGCGACGAAGAAGAATATTCCACATGGACAACGTTGGCAGCTTTTCCAGCAATCCGAGCTGAACTGGGGCTACAAGACCGTCCCGCAGGAGCAATGCCATGGCCGCCAGATCGACTATTCTCGGGGAAAGTGTCTGGGGGGGGCTCGAGCGTCATCAACTTCTGCGGCTACAGTATCGGCTGCCGGGACGACTTTGAAGAATGGGCGAGGATTGTCGGCGATGACCACTTCGGCTGGGAGAAGATGCAGAGGCGATTCAAAGACCTCGAAACTTTCCACGATGCCGTTCCAGCCGACATGAACGGCAGAAAGTATGCGGCACCCGACCTCGCCGACCACGGATCCTCCGGGCCTCTTCATGTTGGATTCGCCTCGGAGTGGGAGCGGGACGTCCCGTCCATGATGGAGGCGTTCGCTCAGGCAGGCTATGCGATTAATCCAGATCATAATTCCGGAAACCCACTGGGAATCTCAATATCCATCAAGAGCGTTCGCAAAGGAATCGCATCGTCAGCTCAGGACTTGATATGGAACRCCCCCGAAAACCTCACCCGTGGTGTGTGATGCTCCTGTTCAGAGGCTGTTGTGCAACAACCAAAATAGGGTAGTCGGAGTTGAGAGCAACGGGAAGCACTGTAAGGTCCTGCATATGATTTGCAATTCCGGGAAGCTATTCTAACAGTGGGGATTTGCAGACTTGGCCTCGAGGGAGGTGATTCTCAGCGCGGGTGCCCTCAACACCCCCCAGATCCTGATGCATTCCGGAATAGGCCCTTCCTCCCAGTTGGAGAAATTTGGCATACCAGTTGTACTCCATAATGATGCCGTGGGACAGGGTTTACGAGACCACTTCTTCTTCACGGTGGCGCTCAGCCGAACGGACGACACCAGCGATCGAAGGAGCTTTTATGGAGATCAGAAAGCCATGAGAATGGCCCAAAAGCAGTGGGAGTCCGATCGTACTGGGCCATGGACAGTCTTCGGGTGTGAGACGGCCATAGGCTGGTTTCAAATCGGACGAAATGCTTCAATCCGACGAATTCAAAGCTCTGCCACGGCATGAGCGAGAATTTCTGCAAAGGGAAACAGTGCCGCACTTTGAGACATTCGCCAACATTCCCCTCCACTGGTTCATGGAAGATTTTCCTTCCCATCATCCCGCTTACGTCACCCTCACGGGATTCCCATTCAATGCTCAAAGTCGCGGCGAAGTCGTCTTGCAATCCCCAGACCCGGACGTCCCGCTGTTATTCGACCCTAAAATCTTCCACCACCCATTCGATTGTCGCATGGCCATCATAACGCTCCGCAGTCTCCTCCAAGTCGCAAATCACCCCGACTTTAAGAAGAATACTTTGGGCGTCATAGCGGGTCCGTCCACAGAGTCCGACGACGATATTCTGGAATTCTGTAAGCGCAACGTGGTCTCGACGTGGCACATGTGCGGGGGACCGCGAAGATGGGAAAAGAGCAGGATGGAATATCTGTGGTGGGACACGACTTCCGCGTCTTTGGAATGAGGGGGTTGAGGATTGCGGATTTGAGCATCTCCCCCATTTTACCGAGCTGTCATACGCAAAGTACGGGGTACGCGATTGGGGTTGCTTGCGCGGAGAAATTGGTCCACGAATATCGTTTGGACGATACGGTCAGCAGTGGCTCTCGACAGAAAAGTCGGCTCTGAGATGCGCTCGCAGAATGGTATGCGTAGGATCCACTCAGTACTACGTATTCTGAAAGATGTCCAAGTTGAGCTATGCTACATTTGTAAAGCTCCGTTAATGCTGGGATCGTGCTGTTATTCATCCGATGTCCATAAACGATGCATCCAGTGTACTGAGCGGCGCGAGACTGCTATCGTGCAGTCCCATGAAAGTGGTGTGGTCGAGAGGAAGGTTGAAGTCATAGAGGTCTGGTGCAATTGTTGAGGAGGTGATCTCAAGACCACCAGTAAATGGCTGTGGAATATCCAGGAGCGAATACGTGGTGCTGTCTAATGTTCGGAAATTGTAATCGCTAGCGCGTGAATTGCTGATATCAAAACTTCCGTCCTCGGGTAATGGGACGACGAAGGGTTGTGGAATATCCAGGAGCGAGTATGTACTGTTGTTTAGTGCGTAGACGTCGCCACCGAACAAATCGCCAATGCTACGACTTCCAACCTCAGGAAACGAGGTGAGGGTTGCGCCAATGTTGAGCGTCTCAGGCTCTTTCAGGCTTCCGAAGTGCTCAGCGACAAGCTGACTTTGGTGCTTGAACCTTTTCTGTTCTCTCTTGTCGATGTAGGAATTGCAACATCGTTGCAGACTTTCATTGATGGCCAGGTTGCGGCTGGCAATCGGGTCATGTGCGTGGAACAAGTCCAGGATAGATCGGGCCGCTTCCAGGTATTGATTTATCCGCAGCAGGAGATCGTAGTCCAGGAATACGGACAGTGCAAGGATCAGCGATGCCGTATGGACCGAGTTAACCATAAAAGGCAGCCTTTTTGGCAGTCTTTTTAAGCTTACTAAGCTCTAAAATAGTTCTATAAGATTAATAGCCGCGGTAACGC